CCTCGCGCGCCTTACTGCAAAGGATCCCTGCTTTCCCTGGTGTGATGTTTCTGTAGTTGTTGGTTGCCGTTGTTTCTGCTTCTCTCCTCCACTTTGTAGTTTTGTAAATCAGGCCCGGCCTGCCGCAAACCACTGCCTGAGCCGACGGCGCGGGCGGAGGCTGTTGCATTGGCCGGGCTTGCCGGATCGAGGGCCTCTTTGCATTGAGCATGCAGAGAGAATGGACTGAGGCTTCCTCTAAGACTACAGGCCAGAGGTCCCCTTGCATCGAGTGAACCATGATCGCAGGCTGGCGGAGTCACGCTGCTGGAGATGGCGGCCCTGACTCTTGGCCAAGGTTGGAAGGTGGTCTCACGTTCTGCGATGGTTCTATCCAAGCATGTAAACTCTGTCCGTGCCGGCTGTGCCTGAAGGCCTGCATCGGACGTAGTCTGCCTTTTCTCATTGTTGCCTGCAGCCGAGAGCGCTACAAATGGGAACGAAGCGCAGGTTCTGGGCAGCTTCGGAGGTCTGCGTTGGGGTTCTTTGTGTCAAACTCTGAGTCCGAGGAGCAACGATCCAGCCCTTGCCGGGACGTTGCTGATGGTTGGTGCTGCTGGCAAGGACCATCCGGGTGTCCGAATCGTGCTAGGGTATCCTACCTGCAAGCCGATTTAACGACGCCAACCAAACCGTCTGCAATCGGAACACATAGCAAGAAAGCCAAATTAAAACCTCCTGCCAGCTCCCTGACGCCATGATCCTGTTTAGGGCTCGTGATTATTGTATATATGTCACTGCACCACACGCAACCCTTCTGAGCCTCCAAGGGGACAATACAGACTGTGACATGCATGTGTATCCTGGAGACGCTTATGACATAATATGAGGCTTAAGGCCCACTTAAGGCTCTGTAATGGCTCAACCTTCGGAAAGCGCGACCAGGCGGCCAGCAGTTCGGAGATAACTTCGTTGATGTGGGCCAGTGGCCTCGGTTGCTCTTCGTGACTTCGAGGATGACTCCTGGGAGGTCTGGAGCTGTTGGCTCTGGCTTGAGTACTCAGAATCTTCTTGCTTGGCGCACTATTAGAGAGGCGTTCCGAGATCTGCGAGCCCACTGAAGTGCTGGAACACCAAAGTCTTGAGGGCTGCTTCGGCCTGTCTCTGAGCCTGCCGAGGCCCATTGGCGGAATGCCGAGAGTGTGGCATCTGTGCTAACGGCCAAAGGCCAGCATTGGCGGAGCGCCTTCTGTGCCAGGTCTCATGATCATGAGATTCAACTTATCGTTAGCCCGGTTCCTGGTGCAGACTGCTCCCCACCTTACACTGGTCGAAAGCAGCCCGGCTGCCTTCGGTGGACCTCGCCTCCAGGCTTTCAGCTCACGAACAGTGACCTTGAAGGCTCGCACATGCTTTGCGTGCACCAATGCTCTTGTCGGGTTAGCCTGGCTGCATCAGCACAGGCCTGCAGCTCATGCGCAATCTTCAGCGCCGCGCCACCAAACCGCAGGCACAACCCTGTTGGAGCGCGCGTTGAAGCTCCAGTTTGGGATCGCAAGCCCTGTATACGATCCAAGCCTAACGCGTGTGACTAGCCAAGTGTGGAATCCATGAGTCATATGCAGGAAAAGGCGACCGAGAAGTCGGACAAGGAAGCCGGTAGCCGGCCCGGCACTCAGAGATGAGCCCAGAGACTCGAAGATTATGGATCCCGTGGTTTTTCAGGGTTGTTTGCTTTCAGACTCAACGCGAGGGCCAAAGGTAGGCTTGAAGTCAAAGCGGTCCTGCGCTATGCCATTCGACGATGACGACCGCGACTGCGGCGACTGCTAGTGCTACTGCCACTGCGACCGCCACTGCTACTTCTACTGCTACTCCTACTACTACTACTACTACTACTACTACTACTACTACTACTAGTACTACTACTACTACTGCTACTACGACGACGACGACGACGCCTGCTGCTATTGCTTCGACTACGACTACGACAGCGACGACTTTACTCGTACTGCTTCTACTACGACGACGACTGCTGCTACTGCCACTGCTACCACTACCATTACCACTGCCACCACCGCCACTGCTACCACCGCACTGCTTCTTGTGCTACTTGTACTTCTGTTTCGACTACAAATCCTCCTCCTGTCACAAAGTCGAAGGCCCGCCTTCGGAGTTCCTCTCTGTCAGTCGTCCAAGGCCGGATCAGAAGAAGCGGCCTGCAGACGAGGCCTCAAGCAGTAGCCATGGTCGGCTGAGGTTCAAGACTTCCAACAAACCTTCTTGAAGTGTCCGAGCCAGTTCGCTGGGCTACATAAAGTTTCGGAGCAATCGGTTGAGGATGATGTGGGACTAAAGGTGGTTTGGAGCTTTGGCATGCCTGTGCCGGTTCCACTACGTTGGCTACAAACCAGCAGACACGGGAAACTGAAAGTCCAGCCACGAAGGAGGAGCATTTTGTAAAGTTTCAGTGCTGCTACAGCTACTGCTACTGTTACTACTACTACTACTACTACTACTACTACTACTACTACTACTACTACTACTACTACTACTACTACTACTACTACTACTGCTACTACTGCTACTACTGCTACTACTGCTACTACTGCTACTACTGCTACTTCTCCTGCTGCTGCTACTCCCTCTGCTGCAGCCACTGCTACTGCTGCGAGCATTGTCGTTGGCGGCAGCAGTCGCTCTTACGGTTCGTTGCTCCGCTGCTACTATAGCTACTACTCACCACTGCCTGTTGTACTGGACAGAGGTTATCGGTGTCTCTGAGTTATCGCTTTCTGGTGCCACTGCTAATAATTGGGGCATGGCTACCGTTAGGAGCATGATCACCGTCGATAATGTGTCGACTCGATATCCGGAGCGATGAATGCATACAGGCAGTTCTTCGCTCGCGGGCTCAATACCCTTCTGTGCTTCAGCGCAAGAGTCTACGATACAGATCGGCTTCTCCAGGAGAAGGACAAAGACAGGGAGGAGGAGGAAGAGGAGGAAGACGAAGCCCCGGATCCGACTGTGCGAGAGCCTCAGCTTCCGAATTTACAGCCTGGCAAGCTCTGCGGGGGTGCAGCTTACGGGCCTGGTGTGCACTGTTCAATGTTGAGTTGCTTGCTGCGTTCGATCCGCCAGAAATCAATGATGTAGGGTGTAGGGTTTGGCCAGCAGTTCGTAAGGCAAGGGCTGGAGGGCTCGTAACCGATTCGAACTACCATGCCGACTCTTGAGGTGTGGCAAGAAGCCTAAAGCCCGCAGCCAAAACTCCTAGGTCCTAGCCGCTCCTAGCCCCCTGTTGGGCCGCCTCTTTGAGTTTCACAGCGATGATGAAGCTCCGAACTGCATGTGGAAGTTTCACAACCGGGACGCATCTTAAGAAGACAAGAGGCACCCGGAATTTCGAGAAACACGCAGGCCTCTCACCGTGCGAGGGTTAGGCTTTGACACGTTTTGAAATGAAGCCTTGCAAACGACAGCAAAAGAACACTCAGACGAACCACCGACTCCAAACCTGTATAATAGGACGTTCAGCAAGGCCGAATCCCATATCAGCACATGTCCTATAAACTTTCCTCCGACGTCCGACATTTCGAGGTTACAGCTCCTCGATGTTAATGCTTCATCTTTATGGCACCACCTGCGTGCCCGCACCTCAGTGCCTTCAGAGTTGTCGGAGCTTTGCCCTCGACAGAGTTTATGGCTCGGACGCTCAGGCTTGTAGACTTTAGGGTTGAGGGATCTTCACAGTGATGTGGGAAGACTGAGGGATCGTGGGTCCGAGCTTTCCGTGGACTTCTGGCAGGGATAAACTTTCAAGAAGCTGGATTAAGGGCGTCGATATAAAGGCCGAGGGCCTAGAGCTCTTATAACTGCTCCACAGCCTCCTGTGGAGAGATCCTGCCATTGCAAATCTAAAGTGACATCTATGCAGACCCTCTTAAACCCTGCACCCTGGGTTCTCTGCTACGTTTAACGGTACAACCAAACCAACGCCCCAAGCAGCCATTTCTTTTTGCCACCTCCTTGAGGCCATCAGGCACGGCGAAGCCGTGCACGAGCTGCGAGTCAACTTCCCAGTCCTGGGGAGTTTGGATATCACTGCTTAATTGCAGGGTCTCGGACGGTTGAGGGAGAAAGTTCAACGCTGCGGAGATCGGGTTGGGTTTGTGAGAGTTCGAGCTCGGGGATCCATAGAACTTGTGGGCTGGGTGGGCATAGCATGACGCAGCGCGCGCAGAGGGTTTGCGCAGTGCTACCGTCCCGAGCGCGTGCAGGGCACAGGAGCTCCTTCGAGTCAGAGGATCATGCTACCGCAGCAACATGTGCGAATTGACAGCACCTAGCAGCTTTGGACCTCAAGAACTGTATACGCGAGTGCAAAGCGAACGCGGGTTTCGTAATCCTAGACTTCCTGTCAACTTCCTTCGCTAAGGCGCGCATGGCTTGCAGTTCCAAACCGCAGCTGGGGCCTTGAAATGAAAGCTCGGACACGGAAAACTAAAAGTCCCTCCCGGCACTTCGAAGGTGTTGTTGGATGTTGGGATAGCAACGATGTTTCAGCGAGGCATCGAGAGCCCGAGAGGGTGTCGAAGACTCGCAATCGCCACACATCTTTCTGAAGCCACGCCGAGGTGAACTCGTGTGCTTTGGGTTGTGGATGTTGACTGCTTGTGGCTGCTAAGAGGGGCCCGGTGCGCGGTGCTTGTTGTGATACCGAAGCAAGATGATACATGCCAGTGAACTATGTAAAAAGCTTCTGTTGTGATTTCGACAGTTCTGGCTTGGTCCTGCTGAAAAACACTTGACAAAGCCGATCTCCGTTCGCACCGGACCCGCTGACACCCATGCCTGGTGGAGCGCGAGGACTTAGAGTTTATAGCTGCTGCCTTACAGCCCGATATGGGCATTCCCGCTAAGAGTTTGTGCATTGTAGCAGATACCTAGACCTAGAGGCGACCACATGAACCCAAGACTTGTTGCCGGGATCGAGGGGCACAGGTTTCCTCCTGTAGAAGGCTCGGTATTGTGGCGAAGCTGCCGAGGTCAGTGGTGACGGCAGATCGGCCAAGGGTCGCGCTCTGAGCAGGTCGCAGCCAGATCATGTGAGCCTTTTTTTCAGCTTAGTCTGGAAGGCTCTGCGTCCTGGGATCCCATGCAAGCTCACCTGCTTCAGGTGCACCAAGCCCTCTTAATTAGTGCACTTGCAATTCAAGTGCCCACGTCGGCCCAGCGAAGCCACAGTCACATGAGAACCGGGCCGAGGTCGAAGACCCGAAGCCCAGTGCCGGAGAATTCCTGAAAGCCTGCAAAGCTGCGCGCCGACCCCAGGATTGATCTCGTGGTGACCCTTGGCGTTTAGTGAATTATGCAGAGTCTGCTAAGGCTTAGCTTGTCTAGCGGACTACTGTTGAACCATCCGTTCAACATTCGCAGATGCAGTTGCGAAACTAAGGCTAGCGAATGCGGGTGAAACAAGTGCTGCCGCCGACGGTTCTTTGGAGGCGCATTCTTCTTGCCCATGTCTTGTTCCAGCGTCGGCCATGCAAACAATATCGGGAGCTAGTTGCTGGTTTCGAGGCCTGAATTGATGCGAACGCATGGGCCATGTAGTAGAATGTGCAATGCAACGATGAATGTTCCATGGCGGGCGGCATGATCACATTTGGAACTTCATTCTGAACCTGCCCGGGCTCGCTGTGCAAGTTCGCGAGAGCTGGATGCAAATTGGGTTGTTGATGCTCGCTGCAGCTATTTGCGTCGTCTTGTGGCGTTTCCCCCGATGTCTCTCTTTGTTTTGCGGTGTCCGGCGCTCCTCAGACTGCCTGCCTTCGCAGTCACTCCTCGGCTTGTTCGGCTCAAGGGAGCTTTGCCCGATGCCAGAATGCCGGCCAAGAGGAAGCGAGGTGCTGGCGAGGATGCCAAGGCAGTATTCGGCATGCTCAGCTGTCCCCACAGGGTTTCAAGCTTATGCTGTCTTTAGGCGTTGCAGGGGTTGCGGCGGCATGAGTGTACAAACAGACGCACGCCCGACAGATCTGCGACAATGCCCTGAGAAGGAGTCTTCGGAAAGCCTGACCAAGAAGACAAAGAAGGAAGGGCTTTCCGAACGGCGGCTGAAGCAGTACTCGGTGAGCTCTAAGCCTGGCAAGTTCTTTGTCGCAATTGGCCATTCACTTGATGTGGGGCTGTAGGGCTGTTAGGGTTCGTACTGCGTAGGGCTTATCGGGCTCAAGGCTAGAAGAAGGTGAGGGGAAGCTGAAACTTGCAAATCCGTGATACCCAAGGAGGAAAATCGGAACGCGTCAACCCGTCTCTATAGGAAATTTACATGCCTGGCTTCATGGTGGGAGAAGTCTCCACAGTTTCAAGTGAAAACTGTGGTGCCCAGATATGTTTTTGTTCTATATTGGTGTTGTCGCCATCAGCCTCACCAGCAACAGTTTTGCTTCACGCTGAGGTTACCTTTGACCGTCGGCATCACGGGAGCCAGGGCTGGAGATGTGCTGTGCCGGGGCCGCATCAAAGCACTCCTTGGGTCTTTGCCTTTGTGGTTCGTTTTCGGAGCTTGGCCATGAGCAGCATGTTGAGAATTGGATGAGAGAGACTCGACAACGTACACAGGATTTCGCTCCTGGATCATTGGGTTGTGTTTACGACAACTCCATTTCATCATGCTATAGAGGCCGTGCGCCAGGCCTGCAGCCACCACCCGAAGCTGAAGCACTGGAAATTTGAGAGATCCCTAAATCGTACATGCCTGCTTGTAATTGCACGTCCGAAAGGCGTGGCGTGGAAGATGCCAGCAGCGGGGACGTGGCCAATGTAGTGTTACGTCTCGTCTCCGGCATGGTCTCAGCACCGAGCATTATCCGCAGGCAGGAGCTCAAAGGCTGACTGCACATGAGTCAGACACGCGCTGCCGCATGCCTCGTAGAAGGGTTCTGGCAATATGTCGAAGCTACCACGGAGCCGTTTGGGAAGAGCACGAGCCGAATTGAAAGCTCCCCGATTGCCCACGAAAACCTGCAAGGTTGAATCAAGAATCAACCCTTGAAGCCCTGGCGACATGCATTCTGCAGCAGCAACAACAGCAACGACCTGGCCGAGAATCAGTGTTGTGCTGATAAGGCCAAGCAGGGGGTGTATTTCTCCTGGACAGGAGCGTGGAGGCAGAAGTCGGTCGAGAGGCCGATGGCCAACCGTGAGACTGATTGGAAATGTTGACGCAGTGCGAGATGGAATGTGACGGTCCATCGGAGAAGCGGTACTATACATGTGTATGCATATATATATATATATATATATATATATATACAGATAGACTGTTATAGTTCAAGAAGTGACAGATAGTGCTTGTGACATGCATCAGCTCTCTTCCCGAGAAATGCTGGCGCAGGATGCAGGGTCTTGGTTTTGATCACTCCGAAACACCCCTCTACAGGCTCTCATTGCGGCGGTGGCAAAGCATTTCGGCGAGTCCCGCGCTGCGGCAACACTGCGATACAACGACTTCCCTCAAACCGAGGTGCTGGGGAATCGTAGATCAGATTTGGGGCCCTATACGTTTAAGCTGTACCTTTGGTTGTTTAGGGGTTTAGGGCTGGCTGTAGGAGCCAGTACTTGAAGCAGGTAGCCACGATTACGCACCCCCTCCCCAACCGAAATTCATGTCCCGGCCATGCCGCCTCGCCCGAAGGTTCCAAATCATCAGCCGTTGGGCGCCGGCTGTTCGCATGGCTTGGAGGAATCGGGGATGCAGCAGACGGCCTTAGGGACCAATACATCTCCCAGCGTGGCTTCCCCATACCGGTCTGATCCCTTCTGTGTGCTGGCACTTTGATTGATGCACGTGGTTGGTCGGTTTGATGTTTTGGTCTGAGGGGCTCACTTTGTCCTTGGAAAGGAGAACTGCAGCTGTCCCCCTGCGGCCACCTTCGTCATCGTGTCGCAAGGCGTGTGGCAGTCTTTCGCAGACCAGCACGGGAATGGCGAGGAGCTTCAGTGACTTGGCTCGTGTTTTTGTTAGCAGCCCGCCGCCCCTCCCGATTTGACAGTGCAGATCTGCACAAAGCCAGCAGTTTCCACCTCTCGCATTCGGATTGAAGCAGTGCCGAGGGCCATGGTGGAAGAAAGGCGGACTGTTTGCTGGCGCGATGTCCTCAAGTTGATGTACACGCCAGGTCTGCCGGAGGCTTCTGACTGTGCTGGTACATGTTCAGAACATGCGGCATGTACAGCTTGAAGGGCTTGAAGTGTGTCAGTCTAACTCAATGGACGGCATTGCTCATCATCGATCCCTTAGTCAACGAAGGCCAACCATGAGGGAACCTTCACTGTTACACGTACAGTGAAAGGCTCCAGGGCTTCAGGGCCCCAAGCATCAATCGTGCAGCAGTGAAAATGCGCAGGGAAAGAAGTTGATCCTCCGCCCGCGGCTCTTCGAGATCGTGGCAGGCCCTGAGCAGCTCCCAGCAACACACCCCGAGGTGGGAATCCGTGCGTGAACAACACTACTATAGAGGCCTATAGTAATTCGAGTAGAGTTTCGGAGTACATTGCTAAAATTACACTATAACCATCAAAAGGGCCTTGCATGCCCTGTTGAATTTGACACGATGCCGCAGTGGCAGGTCAAGAAAGCTGACGTGCTTGATGCGGTCAGCTGGTCCTCAGGTCGCTGTCAGGGCCCGGAACACGTGCACTACAAGCTGGATGGCTACGTTGTGCGGGTCCCTGCCTCGTCCCAAGCAGCCTTCCAGATGCAGGTGGAAGCTGTGCAAGAAGCAGTGGATGGCCTCGTTCCGAGCTGTTCTGCTGACTCGGTGAGACACTGCATTGCTCAGCTCCGGCCACTTAGCATGGGGGCGCTGAAGAGCTGCCTTCAGAAGGTGATCCGCTTCCATGCTGTAGCTGTGGATTGTGGTGAGCACATCCCATCGCCGCTGGTAGCTGCCACTGCGACCGCCCTCCTCTTCGCAAATCGTGGCGGCTTCTCCCCAGAGCTGCAGCTCTTCACTCGCGGATCTACAGCCGCCTTCAAACGCCTCGCAGTGATCCTGCTGGAAGATGCTTGGGTGAAGGAGGATGCCACCCCATCCTGCGTCACAGCACTTTTAGCCCTGGGCTTGGTCACCCAGCGCGTCGCTGACTACGAACCACCGCGCAGCTCAGTGGTGGCGGCGATGCGAATGGCTGCCCGGGCCGCGGCATCAGGCTACATAATTGATTGGCGGCAGAAGGCTTCGGCCCAGGTCCGGAAACCTGATGAGCACATAAACGTGTCGAAGGCGCAGGCCTCTTTGTTCCAGCACTCCGCCAAGCTCCTTCACTTGCTGCGAAGCTTTTCCGGGGACATGGCGATGTTCGACCAAGTCGCCGCCGCAAGCAGGGCGGGCAAACTGCCCTTGCAACAGGCGGCCAAGCGCCCGGAGGTCTCGGGTCTCCCAAATGAGCTATTGCTTTACAAAGATCTCTCGAACCCAGCAGTCGCGTCCCAAGCTCGTTCAGTGTGTAGTTTGAAACGAAGGTCATGCCTCTCTGCCACCTCGTGGACCAGCACACCTACCGCGGCATCGCCCATGTTTTGGGGGAAGGAGCAGAGTCCACCTTCGCTCTACGCTTCCAGTCGCTCTTCAGCAAGTGCACGGGTTTCAACCCTCGCCTCGCCGATCCGGGCGACTCTCAGCTGCACAGAGAGACGAGACGTCTCTCTTAAGGCCAAGCATCCAAAAGACCCTCTAAAAGGGCAAGTAATTTTGTTTTCCAGATGGCCAAGGAAGGCTTCGAGTCCAGGGCCGAGGTGCAGAGGGCCCGCTTCGCTCAGCAGTGCTGCCTCAATGCGGCGCAGCAAAAGCCAAAGACTCTGCTTCCTCTCATCTCTGACGGTGCTTGGGTCAGCCTGGAACTTGATCCCGGCGTCCTCTCTGCGGCCGTCGGCCCAGTGCCTACGAAGGTCCAAGGCAAGCGTGGAAGCCGTGACCTTCTGGTCTTGCTGGGGGTACGGTGTCCGGAAGACGAGGTCGCCGCCGGCTTGTAACTTGGGATCTTGCTTTGCTTTTGGTATCATATAGGTTAACCATTATTGCCAGTATGTTTATACGCGCATCTAAAAAGGTCTGATATCGTTCTTGCAGATGTCCCGCAAGCCTTACGACCACATGATGCGGACTCAGCTCAGGTCATGCAGAAGCCAGCAAGGGCCACACGCGACCTCTTTGGCGACCTGACAGACCAGGAGCCGAGATCAGCGAGGATTTTTTTGAATTTCTCCGCGTCGCACGGGCACCGCTATGTTCCGAGAAGCATTCACGCTTTGTTTCGGAGCGATAGGTAACTGTCGCTCTAGCAACCAGGTGCAGGTGGATTTTCTGCGGCAGTCTCACAAACAACGACTCTAGCTGCGACCTTATTATACAAGCGACCCTCGCCACAGTCCGCAGAGCATTGTGACGTTCTGAAGCATTCTTTCTGAGACAGACAAATCTTCTGGCGAGGAGCGGGCCGAAGCTGTAGCTGCCGTTCGCAGCCGGCAGCTGCGAGTGCAGTCGCTGCTGCTTCCAGGGCTGCACGAGGCCAAGTTCGTTGATGGGTCCTGGTGCCGTGGCGCGCGCAATCCTGAAGTTCAAGATTGAGGAACGTTCGGGGATGTTCGTGGCTGAAGTGGTCGCTGACGTGATTGGACTCATTCGGGCTACATCCATGCTCTGTGCAAGGCGGTGGGGAGGTTTGATCTGCAGCATGTGCCATGTCGAAGACCAATCGCACTAAAGAGAGCGAGAGAGAGAGAGAGAGAGAGAGCAACGCTTTGGCGCTGGCGTCCAACGCACACCCCTTCCCAACTGGAACATCCCTTAGGCCACAAGGCCAAGCAACCAGATTGGAGAACAGCCCCTTCTGCCGAACAACCATCGAAGCTGCACAGTCTGCGAGTTGCTGCCAAGTCAACGGCTCCGGTGTCCGTTCTTCATTCCTCCTTTGTTGCTTGGAGCATCTTGGAGCTTAGCCGCTTTTTCGATCCGAGGCAAGTCGATGGCACCAAGTGGGCCGACCTCCTGAGCAAGGGCATCCGGATCAAAGTGCCGCAGGCGAAGGGCCGAACGGTAATCGCCAGGGTTGCTCATGCCTGATGCTGCTTGCTCACCAGGTGGCCGCACCGTCTTGGTGCGACACCTTGAACGCGAAGAATGCAGAAGCCCTGCTGCGGAATGATGCGGCTCTGGAGGAGGCACGGAAAATCAGCCTGGCTGAGCTTGCGCCTCAATCGTTCCGAGAGGCCCTCGGAGTTTCCGGAGCCGGCATGATTCCACGTGCAGAGGAGGCCTGGGCCCTAGGGCAGACTTGGAATGGCTGCTTGCACTGCCTTGATCCACTTGGTTTCGATGTAAACGGTCGTCTCATCTAGCACCATTATCCGCTGTTTCAACAGCGGCCGTGGCTTTGACAAGTACATCCCAAAGTGTGGGATTTCGAGGTAATGTCATGTGTGATGACTTTCTCCCAAACGACACCGACCGCACTGGCCCTGCAGCGCATTGTACCATCTGAATCCAATCTACGAACTTATTCGCAGCAGGGGGTTGTCCGAGCCAACCTCAAGACTGGGAGTTTGCTGAGACTTTCCTGTCATGCCGCGCGAAGCCGTAGAATCAAAAAACCGAGACTGCCGAACCTCAAACTGCAAACCTCGTGTGTGCCTTCAGGTGGTGCTCACCCTGGTGAGCTCCTTGCCGCATGCGGTGTCGCTGAGGGCTGTCTCCCTCCTCCGGCAACAGCACCTGAGATTCCTTCAGCCTCCTTTTTGTTGGGAGCTTTACATCCTGAATCCTGGAGTGGAGCGAGGCTAGGGTTTGCAGGTGTTTAGCTTTGTCTGCGGGGTAATGAGGTCACATGGGTCGACCGATGCCATCAGATGAATGATGCGTTCGGATGCAAGGTTCCTGAATGTATGTATGTTTTGGAGTGGCAGGGAATGGTGCATACGTGATTCTTTGGCATGCATCTCTTCCCGAAGTCAGCTCAAGCCTGATGTCTTATACCCCGAAGGCCTCAAGGGGAGTCAAACACCGTCAGAGTATCTCCAGATCTGGGTTTCCACAAGGACATCCCAGTTCTGCAGAGTCTCATCCCATAACGATCGGCTCTGCATGGGCTCAGAAGTCGCTCCGGAAGTTTTCGATAAAGTCATAAGGGTCTCAGATTGGAGACATCTTATGGCATATCGTGTTTTACCTTATATGGTCTACTCTCCACAGCTTTCTACTGCCGAGGTATGTGAGTGTCTCCATGCCAACACCTTCGCTGCAGGGCGGTTTGGCCGATCAGTTGGCTGCCTACGACGGAGACTTCTCGGCGAAAGCATACTAGAGGGGCCTTAATAATAATAATGATAATAATAATAATAATAATAATAATAATTGTCTATACTCTTTTGTGGATCTCCTTATTTAGTAGTATATTGGGCCCCCCACCCCTATTAGAATTATTAGATTAAGGCCCCTATAGTACTTGTCAAAGATGCCTGATGATGCAGCATCTACCTTGGTCGGAGGGTGGAAGGGTCGTAGTTCCTGCTCACAGATGTTCTGCATAGATCCGTTTGGCTGAAATCCCGCATCCAAGTTTCGCGTATCTCTGTCTACAGTATACAATGAAACTTCTGAAGATTGTCTTCCAGAAGCGCTCCAAAGACACCCCGAGGAGATTGGCTGGTGTATCGACTGCTGGTCCTCATATCGCGCATTGCTCCGACGGCTCTGCGCCCCACGATGCCACCGAACTTCACCGTGACCAACCCTGTCATCCTGCGAGTCGTCGAAGGTGTCATGCGCTGCTTATGGCGGGTTCAACTCCGGACGAGGTTGCGTGTGTGGCTGCAAGCGGCAGCTGGCGCGTACGTTTCGGGGTTTGAAGGGTCGTATAGACTCAGAGGCATACCTTTGCAAGGCCTGTGTCTTGAAGCTACTGTTGGTATTGGCGTGACCCTTGTTGGAAGCTTGCTGGAGGGCTTGCTCTGTTGAGTGCCAGGATGGATGATGGCTGGTGTGGAGCGGGCCATGCTCAGCCAAAATGCTCTCGCCTCTATGTCCCAAAGCTCTGCTCAGTGGGAGGGGTATCCAAGCTCGAGATTTGTAACATTTTCTTCCGTGTGCATCGCATGACTCGTGTCTTCGGCTGCGAAACTCCAATGCGGAGAGAGCACTGCTTGGACCTGGGGAGCTGCTCATAGCGTGGAGGTTCCAAAGCAAGAATGCAACCCAAACCCAAACTGCGAATAAGCCGCAGAGCAACTTAGGCATCCATCCTGGACTTCTATGTCACGTGCCGACGAGTCTCTCCTGGAGCACCAGCGTGAAGCGGTCGACAGCTACTCGCTTCCAGTGACTAGCTTCGGATCTTGGGCTTCTATCTTTCCGGCCTGTTGGTCCGAACATGGTGGTCTGAACCTCATGCGATGCAACCACTCAGGGATGCACCAGCGAGATCGCGAAATGAAATGCGGAGGACTTGTCTGCTGCCATGGAAACTTTGTAAACCGTGAAGTCTCGCCCTAAATGACTCTCATTTTCCTAATGCTTTTGAGACAACATTGAATTGGAGTGTAACTTTCCAAGGCGTCCGTGGTCTTACGTCGCCCCTTTATCTGCTTTTAACACAGGCGGCTTCAACATCTTTGGAGGAAGACTTGATGCTTCAGGTCTCCGGAGCCTTTCTCCTTGTGTTCCCTTGGCCGTCAGGGCCACGGCGGAATCAGAGTCGCGAAGTACTCGTAGCAAGATGTAAGTACCATCGACTTCATTGCCCTGGGAGCGGCAGCAGGACACTTCCTCATCATGGACACTGGCCTGGGCAAGACAGTGACCTCACTGGTCTATGCCTACAGGCTCGCGAGCACCGGGTCGAAAGAGGCTGTGGAGAAATCGCCTTGGAAATTCAGATGCAAAGTTCCGGAGCTTGTTACTTGAGGGCCGCGGGCTTGTCTCTGATCTGTGTAAACACTGCTAAGTGGCAAATGTATGCGACAGGACAGCACTAGTTCAAGGGTCTTGGTTCAAATCATGAGCTCAGGGCTCCACAGGTGCCTCGCAGACCAGCAGTCCGCCAAACTCCCGCAAAGCGCCCTTCAGCCACAACCCCCAGTGCCACGGTCGGGCAACAATCGGCGAACTTCGGAGTCCACTATACACAGGGGTCTTACAGTAATAAGTACCTATACAAGTACTATTTTGGGGGTTCCTCATTGTTCTTGTAGGAAAATGGGCCCAAATATCTTGAATTCCGAGCGAAGGTGGCTTTGCAGCACGGGCGGCAAGGCAGTGCGACGGATCCTTTGGGTCACCCCAGCCGGTACAGCACCTCGCTGTGCAAGGAACTGTTAATCTCAGTTCTCTGCATGCTTTGCACTTCGGCTTCCGGCTACACTGGCATGCTGCGTAGAGTGGAGGGGCTCTGAAAGCTAGGTTTTAGGAGACAGTGTCAACAAAAGCCATGTTGGGCGCTTAGGACAATGTCCTGCATGTCATGTACATGAGACACCCAGGGCGCATCGAAAAAGGTGAAAGCCTCCTCGGGGAGCACAGTTGCAACCCTTGGAGTGGGGTTTGAACTCAGAGAGGGCTGATTGCAGGGGTTGGGTATGGTTTAGTTGCCATTGAGTTCCGTTTATCGCTTGCAGGTCACCGTGGCGATTATGTTCACTGTGTTCGTGTTACGACAACCAAGTTGTGCTTCGTGGTCAGAAACTAAGGTGGAGAATCTGGTGAAGCAGCTCTGCAGCTGGGCTGCAAACAGCTTAGGTGTGAAAGTCTTTTTCTCCTGCTAGCTGGACCAATTTGACCGCTCCGCTGCCTCTGGAAGAATTTTCCGCAGTGGTGCCCCACACACGACTGCGGCTGGCCCAGCAACGACGGTTATGTACTACGAAGTGTTGTACCTGTCAACATCTAAAATACTATCTTGTTTATCATCTTTAAGTACTAGTAGTGCCGCCACCACTACTAGCATCATGCGGCAGTTGCTGGTACTGTTGTTTGACGGTCGAGCTTTAATGCACGGCTCTATAGGCAAGTCAGAGGTTTCGGGACTGCGCTTGCAAGTTTTCTGCGGCCAAGGTCAGACGTGGCATTGTCCCACGCACGTTGTGCCGCGGATCTCATCCGCCAAAAAGCCCAAAGCCGGGGAAGGATTCGGGCTAGATCTCAAGGACTTCATGGTGTTCCTCAGCTTCGTTGGCAGTGGTTGGTAGTTAGAGCCGGTGGTGGCTCCAGCTACCTGAATGGTTCCCTAAATCAGGATAATTTGTCGATCTCCTGCCATGAGATCACGGATGCTCTCAAGGAACGTGATCCATGCAGATCACCTGAGAACTGCCATCGACAAAGGCTTGGCCGAGCAGGCCCGGGATGTCTCAGATTCGCAGCACAACTTCTGCTTCTTGTTTTTTTGCTTGTTCCAGATTTGCAGGGGTCCCGTCTCGCTGAAACTGTCAAAGTCGCACAGGCATGGTATAGGCGGAAGTGGCACGCCGTGGGGCTGTGTCATTTCCTTGCAGGCTACATCTTCGTTCATCATCTTTGATGAAGTGGATGAGATGTATGCACCAACACTGCGAACGTCTGCGGCCCGCAGACTGTGCCAACTCTGCGATCACCTCAGTTTTTTCAGAACTTCCCCTGACTTGCTTCTGGTGTTTACTCCACGGATCTTCACGGCATCTTACAGTAGCCGCGAGATTACCGGGCTTTTGCCAAAGCAAGTTGCTGAGTGGGCTTTGGCAGCAGAAGCCCGCGGCTGAGGCCCAAAGTTTGTCGCGCAAACAGCGACCCCAATGCGCAAGAACGAGTCGCAGTTATTGGCATGGTTGGCGGATGCTTGCCAAGTCGCTTGAAGATCAGCATCCTTGGACACCTCACTCGCAGAACTGCGAGTTTGCTTGTGGATTTCCTGTCGACTCAAGTCGCCCAGGACACGTGCTCATTCCCGGTCGACACCAAGAACTGGCTTGTGGCGGCCTCTGGAATGGTGTCGATGCAGCTGGAGCTAGGCCGCGCGATGCACCAACTGCATTGGCTCCGAACACAGAAAGCGAGCAACAAGCTCGCATGGTGGACCGTTGAGCTGTCATTGGCATTGGCAGGCATTGCAGCCGTCGAGGAAGATATTCTCGTGCCGATGGTGGATGAGGCACTTCTTCATCCACCATCTCAGTCTCTCAGTGAAAATTCAGCTTTGGTTCTTGCGCTCAGGTTCGCACTCTGTGCCGCAAGCTGCTCTCCTCGAGCTCTACCGCGCCCTGCCTATCTCTTTGGTTCGCTCTTTCCGCCTTCTCGCTCTCTCTCTCTCTCTCTCTCTCTCTCTCTCTCTCTCTCTCTCTTCCTCTCTCTGTCTCGCTCCCCCCGCCCTTGCACGCTACCTGGACATTGAGCATTCACCACTCAAAGTCGACCAGCTTCGCTGTCGTACCAGCCTCCACACAGGTGCGATGGCTGGAGATGGCACGTCATTCAGCTGCAGAGACTGAGTCAAGCAGGGCCTATGCATGAGGCCAATTGCGCAGCACTGTTGACAAGGTGTGATGACAGGACGGATGCATCAAGTGTCATGATGATGCTATCAGCTGTAGGCATGCCATCGTGCAGCAGCTGATGCTGCGGGTCATGATGATGATGATGATGAGATTGGGCTAGAATACGAAGAGGCAATACTGATGGTGGTGATGATACTACGATGATGTAGTGATGGTGATGCCGATGCTGGCTAAGCGGCACTTGTCCCAGCCTGAGTATTAAGAGCAGTTCGCCGAAGATGGCCTGCACCACGAAGGCCCTGCAAACTTCGTGCCTTCGATTCCAAGACCACTCCGGAAGCTTCAGTTGAACAGACCATTCCCGACACGCCCTACACTGGCCCTCTAAGTCTATGAGACCCCCTCAGTCCTGCTCCTGCAGCTTTAAGACTGGTGGCTGGCTGTACCCACATTTATTAAATTTAAGGTTTTATCGTGGATTCCGGGCATAGCTATGTATGCTCTATCAGATCAGCCCCCCAAGGTGTGGTGCAGGAACACACGGACAAGGCCATGGCAGAGGCAGCGGTGAAAGCTGCAAAGCAGGACTGGCCCGTCGTCAGGTTTGGAACATTACTGTAGGCTGCGAGTTACGGCGATTCCCATGGAGCATGGCAGGAAGAAAGAAGCTCTACCATGCTGCACGAAAACGCCGAATCTGGAAGCACCAATAAACCGAGGCTTACCCATTTCCTCGGCAGGACCGCAAAGCCAACGCAGACGGTGGAGTTCTGCTGGTTGCCGATTCGCTCCCAGTACGCACTCAGGGTGTTTCGAGAACAGGCTTGTTTGCAAGAAGTCGCCGTCGACTAAACGTACCAGGCTCCAGCATGCCGCGAAGCTGAGAGACCTGTGCAGCCCTCATCTTCCTACGGGTGACTTCGCCTCCTTAGAAGCGCCAGATGCAAAGCGCTTTGCAATCGTGGTCATCACGAAGGCCAGTTGCATAAGGAATGCAGAGGGAGGGCGTCCCAGAACGCTGCTTCTATGCCTTCAGCGACTTCAGGACAAAGATCGGGGATACAACTCCGCAAGACGTCGCTGGGCTGAATCTTAGTTTGCAGAACCTCTGGGCAAGGCCAAGCTGTAAACCGTTCGACTTCTGCGCATAAGTCTGACTTTCAAAAACCTTCATAGATGACGTGAGCCACTTTGCCGCATTGTCTGTCCATACGGCTGGCACAAGCTCTGCAGCATGGAAATGCTGAGGCCTCGGAGTCATGGTGACTGGAGCCTATGCAGGCAACGCTGCATCGAGACATCAGCTGCGCGGTCGACTGCGACGTCTGGGGCAGAAGCGCAAGGACTGACACGGACTGCCGTGCACAGCCGGAGATCATGCTTGAAGGTCAGTGGGGTCCGGTCTGAATTGCAGGCATCTGGATGCAAATTACAGAACTTGGCCCTTCCAGTCGATCGGCACTTGCTGAGCTCCCGGTCCACCGCTGGCAGGAGGTAAGATTCGTGACCGTCTGCATGGAGTTTCTCGGCATCTGATTCAGGGAGTTCCAGCTTAGCAGGCTGAGCATGCCAGCTGAGTCCTTACAGCTTCAATTTACGCAACTTTCGAAATCTAGCCACCCTAGTCTAGAAAAGGGGAAGATGAAGAAACCTGACAGCAGAAACGTGCCGCATCTGGGGTGTTTCTTTGCCCGAGGAATTCTATCCTGCACCTGCTTCATCAACGCCACAGTGCCTCCCCCAGCCAGTAGTGGTATCCTTCCGCTTCATGTTTCGTTCCTGGCTCGATGCGTAATGTTCCATAGACGGTACGGCTAGCGTGAGTAATGTCCTGCACGCACCTGGTCCGATGCAGGCACATTTACTGTATCTTCTTGTGGTCTCCGAGAGTTTCTGTCTCAGGCGCTGTGGATACAATGAACATCTCGCAGCTTGGATGCATCTGAAAACAACACCCTGCTGTGAATTGCATATTCTCGCTAGTACCTTCAGGCTCGAGCAACTTGGACAGCGCTTCAGCGCCGAGGTCATGAAGGGATTGGGGTCTTGATGCCTGCAGCAGCGCATCATTTTAATGTCTAGTTAGTTTTGAAGGCATGCGGCCAAAGATGCCGCACAGCCGGCCGTGTGTAAGAGCTTTATGCACAACAGTTGCTCAACCCGCTGGTACAGTCTTGGGTGAACGAATAGATGCTTCGGCAAGCCGGCACTGTCGAGAGCTTGCAAACTGCTACGAGGAGTAAATATCCGAGTCGAGCCCAATCCGAATCCAAGCCTACCAAAAAGGTCCGCCCAATGGCGGGGAACTTGAGCAAGCATAGATCAGTAGGGGTGACATCTGACGACGACTGCGCAACTCCCAAGGCTGCTGAAAAAGGATGCAAGTTGCTGATTTGGAAGATGTTTGCTTTCTCGGAGCAGTTTATGCCCTTGGGTGGGCAGACTGACGATGAGACAGATGACAACCATTAGGATGTTAATGGACACCATCATCTTTGCTCGACTGGCAGAGATTAACACTCATATTGGTGGTATTCTGACCCAAATCACGTAATCGCGATGTTCATGGTCATCGCCATTGCCACTCCAGCTGTCTGTCCTGACTTTGAACGTCAAAGGGCAGCTTTTCAGACATTGTGCATTGAAGCAAGGAGCAACAAGAGTAAAGAGATCGGCTCAACTCTTCGCGGGACGGATTCACCCACAAACCAACTTGATTCAAATCGGATAGTCCTGGAGCCATAGCAGCCGTAAGCACCTGAGTCTGAGTCTAAGACTGCAGGCGGCGAAGGTCTTTGCCATCAGAAGGTTTGCATGGAGCTGAGACCTACAAATCTTTCGGCATGTTTGTCACGCTCGGTACTCTAGTCTTCCAGGCTTGTGTTCTGTCAATGCTTCGTACGGAAGCTACATACGAACCCGTCTCTACAAGAGTCGGGGGAAGTGAGGGGTCGGACGGCCAGAGGCAAGTCGCCGAAAAGCATGCGAGCAGCAGAGCACCGAATAGTCATCGAGCCAAGACCTTCCTAAGACCATTTTGGTAACAGCGGGTGCTCCCCGTTTTCCGAAGGGCTTCTGTAAGGCACCGGGCAAACCCTGAGCCCTCAGAGAAAGTTGTTGTCCCATCGACAGACCCCGATGCCGCCATGAGCAACTCCACTTCGCGAAGCCATACGACCCACAACCTGACAGCCTTTCCGGCAAATACACACAAGATGGATAGCAGACCCAGGCGGAGGGTCAGACGACGACACTGCCCGCCGCCATGGCACTTCGCCACAGCCCTGGTGAAAGCAACTTCCAGCTCTGGTTTTTGATTCTTCGTCAGCAGCTGTGGAGCAGGGACCTGTCCCCAAATCTCCCCAGCCCGTGGCAGCCATAGATCTTCAGACTGCCTCAGGCCTGGTCTTGGGGGCGAAACCCGGCGCTGGCAGGTCTGACCAGCCAGGGTGTGTCTGCATTGATTGTACAGCATCGCAACATGAGAGAACGTATTATGGCACCTAGTACGCGACACCGTCTCTCAAACAAATCTGGGAGAGACAGTCGGGCGGTAAGCTTCTGAATTATGAGGTGGCAGGAATTGGCATTAGATCAGGCAGAAGGCTAGGGGTGCGATTGAGGCTTTCCAACACGGAGTTGGTGTCAAAGGTGTTGGGTCGTTGGCGGGATACTAAGCCGTGTGTGCTGATAGTTTTTGCTGCGAGTGACCTCACAGAAGGTGTGACTAAATCTGCAACTAGCTCCGAAAGTGAAGCGAAGCAACTGGTCGCAAGTTGTGTAGCATGGCAACATGTGGGCAGAGCCTGGATAGAAAAGAAAGACGAAGCGATCCAATGCCCAACAATGCCGAAGCCGAATCCTTGCGTCCGCCTGAACCCAAACCCCTGCATATTCACGCAGCAGCACACTACGTAATAAGAGCACCTCTCAGGATCCCATACTCCCACTTGCGATCCTGAAAGCCTGAAAGCCATACACCTCAACCTAAAGCCCGTCTGTTTCGCCCACTCTCGGGGCCAGGCTGCTGGCAAAGCTGTCGGATAGCTTTGTGGCTCTCTGCTCACAAGCGCCTCTGAAGCCATCGGACGAGGCAGAGGGTAGGGCTTTCGTGAAGTTTCGGGGCATGGCGAAACCCCGGAGCTCAAGAAGAGGTACAGCTGTTACTAGTACTCAGCCCACCACTGAGAGATCGAACTTCTGCCCTGGAAGGAAGTGTTGCCATTCTTGACACAGCTGCAGCTCGCGGTGGAGGCCTTCCACTGGGCTCCAGCTTCGGGTTCTGGGCTTTCACAGCTTCGGCTCTAGATTTTCTTGGTGCGCCGGGAAACACGATGCAGTAAGGAGGAAACATTGCAGTGATCGCAGCGGTCGTAATCCTCAATCATCGCCGTAACGATAACGGTAGTGACAACAGCAGAATCCAATAGAAGTGACACATCACGTTGAGGAATGTCGGGTATGGAATGGATTTCAGGCTTGTCTTCGCCATCCTGACATCATCACCAAAACCGAAGCACCTTTCGGAGGCCCTTCCCGCACAGCGCGGCGTTCAGTTCCTGGGCTTGGGCACGAACCTCGGGCAGTCGCGCAGGGCTGTCGGTGAGCAATCATCGCAGAGCCGCTGCAGCGCTGCTGTTGGTGGTGTCATTGCTGTGCCAGCAGTCGTCGTCTTGGTTGTGTTGGCGGCGGGTGAGGGTGGAGTGGGGAGGGGGTGGAGGAGTGGAGGTTGGTGGTGCTGGGGTGGTGCTGGGGTGCTGGTGCGGGTCGGTGAAGCGGAGTGCGGTTTGTGCGAGCCAAGGCCTGTCCACCCCGTCGGGAACACTGCGGGAGGCTTTGACAGGGGAAGCCTCTCGGATGCATCGTGGCGATGTCAACTTGCCATCTTTCGGGCTTGCAAAGGGCAAAAATGTGGGGAGACTGAGCCCTCAACCCTAAACTCCTAAACCTAAACCCTGAACCTTCAACCTAAACTAATATCATTTAGCTCTAAACTAAATCCGGCCTCTGACTTCTGAGGTTGAGGGCCTCGCCGCGCTCCATCCGGGAAACCTCCTTCTTTGGCGAGGCATGGACCGGACCCGAAGCTTTGAAGTTTAAGTTTTTTATTATAAAATATACTATATATTATATGTCGTCATATATTAAATTGAATCAGTCTTTGCTCGCAGTTTTGGGTTGGCAGTGGAAGAGTTGGCCTCATGAGGCTCACCCGTTACGAGCCTAAGTCATACAGTAGTCGCCCGTTTCACCCATCATCTCACCCATAAACGTCGATCAACCTCCAAAGTCCCAGCCTATGAAATTTAAGATGTGAAATGAACGTAGCTCTGTATCACACAAGCCGGGCAGGTGTCTTGCAGAATCTGCAGTAGGCATGTTTTGAACTGCTGAACGTTAAGATACCCTTGTTGTAATGTCAGCGAGCAAGAACTAGGGAAGGTTGTAAACGACTAGGGGAACTTGTGTATTTAATGGCTGTCTAAAGCTTGATTTGACATCGCTTACCGTCTGAGCTATCGGAGCCAAGTACTGGCCTTGAATTTGTCTGGTTTATCTTAACGTTATTACATCCCTGACAAATGCAAGATCCGATACAGCTCGCAGGTTGCACGTCCGTGACCTCTGATCCCATGCTGGCCAAGGAGGCTACCCGACATACGAGGATGCACCACCTTCATTGTTGTGAGCAGCTCTGCGCGTATGTCGTGCTACGAACAGTGCTGTCAAGAGGACTAAGGACTTGACAGCCAGGTCCCTAGTTCAAGCTCACGGTAAAACGGCTGACGGAGTGCAACGCCTCGGTTTCCCGTTTTGACCATCATTTCTTGTGCAGGCCGCTTTGGAGGGAGGAAGTGTTGCACTCGTGTTCAAGGTGCAGCGCGTGAAGAAAGGGCGGCTTGGGATGTGAACTTCCATTCCAAACTCAAGAGCTTTAGCGGTGAGGGTTCCTCGCACAAGACGGGTTACGACACTTACGACCTGTGGATGGTATCTTTTTTGGATGAAAGGTTAGGGGGCCGGGCTCAGCTGTTGCTCTTCAAACCCCGGCTGGTTGATCTTGGTCTCAATCGCAGCAAGAACAATAATGCCCTATAGCCTTATATGATACGCGCTCTACAAGACCATGCTTATGTAAGTATAATCTAGGCTTCTTGAGATGAGGAGAGCCACCAGCCGTGGCTCTCCTTTCTGTCGCTTTCCGTCAGCCCCTGCAACAGTCTCGACTTGTGTCATGCAGACCTCTCAAAGAACGCCCTTCAGCGAAGACAATATCAGCCAAAGCAGGAACTAAGCCTAATCAAGCGCTTGAACCCTCATCGAACTCCGCGGAAGTCTTCCTTCTGCTGCAAGCAAGAGGTTCGCAGCAGTTCCTCAAGGGATGTTGCAGCGTGCCCTGCAGCCCTCGTTTCTTGTGTTCCAGTTGCTTGTCTCACTAGGTTGGTTGACATTAACATGCTCCCCGAGCTTCACGAAGTTGCTTGGAGGGTTGGGGTGAAGCTGTGCCTTTGTAGCATGTTGTTGTGTTATCCGCTTCGGAGCCGGTGCGGAACTAGCGTGGCCTTGCAGGTGCTGGTTGCTTCTGCGGGGTCTTCGAAACCAGGTACCAGTACCCAAGCGTACATCCACGCAGATCCTTCATATGCCGAGCTTTCAAAGAGAACTACTGTGCACTGCTCCTCTTTATCCTCGTCACCCGTCCCTTCCACAGCCTTTCATCATCATCACCCCCATCACCTTTGGCATCCTCATCTGCTGAACTTTTGGAATCGAGAGGTACTCTCCGTCGCCTGACCTCCGGGAACGGCTTCTGCCCCCAAGGCTCTCCTCGGGTGGCACAGTTGTTGGGTTTCTATCTGGAATACCCGTTCTGGCCAGAGAAGTTGTTGGGGCTTGGGCTCTCCGGGAGCAATATGGTTGCGGGCCACAGACTTCGATGCGACATGGCCATACCGCTCATGGATAGGCAAGCAAGATGCCATCTGGAATCTACGGGGGTCGCATGGCTTGCAGGAAGGTAATGCACGAGTACCAGCTGAGAAAGATGTCGCTGTGATGCCAGACCTTGTTGAAACTGTGTTTGTTTCCGCACGTGTCTTTTTTTAATTAGTTGCGAAGCCTGGCAACCACAGGGTTCGTTTTGAGCTACAGCTTTGAAAGCGTGCTGCCAGGCGGTGTTTCCGAGTCCAGGGAATCTTCGCCCTGGAGGCTCGAGAGTTTAGGGTGTACAGGTCCTTTGTTGAGGTCTTGCAGTCTCGGAACACCTGCGACTCTTAGGTTCTTAGGCACTTTTGCGTGGCGGTGCGAGCTTTCGTTTGTGCAAGCTCGGGCTTCTCCCCCAGAAATCCAGTCCTGCAGTTGATTGAGGAAACCATAGCACCAAGCATGCTGCCGCCAGGACACAAGACTTTCGACCCCATAGACAAGCAACAAGAACTAAGAAACCAATCAAAATAATGATAGTAGCCGTAACAGCCACGTGGAGCCTTCTCGTCTGGCTCCACGTAAACCTCGCCGTCTAGCTGTCGATCTACACACTGCCTTCTACTGCTTTCTGGAGCCTGCCAGGACATGATTCTGCGAAGAGGAACATCCTCTTCAGGCAAGATGCGCTCCTGCTCCTACGAACACCGACAACTGCCCTTGCTCGTTTGTTCATCGATTGTGCATTTCAGGATCCGCGTCGAAAAATCCGCGTCAGAGAACTTCCTTGCTGGTTGGCCTGTTCGTTTGAGAACTTGCAGCAAACCCTTACCTGAATATCTTTGCAAGCCAACTCACGAAGACCCGCCAGCTAAAACTTCCTCAGACCGAAGCACTGGATCAGCAGCCATACTGCCCCTGCCAACTGTGCTGGGTATCAAGCTTGCCTTCGAGGTATCCGAAATGAGAATGCCCTGGGAGAATAAAAAAAGTGAGCACAGGCGGTTAGTTACGTTCCGCCGATGAGTCAATGTCAGTACCTGGAGAGGTTCGTGCACTCTCGGAGGAACTCTTAAGACCGGAAGAAGAAAGCAACCCCTCACCCTTGCTATTCCATTCTCCAAGCCGATACAGCAGTCGCAGTCTCCAGTGCCGACGTCTGAACCTTTGAAGCCTGGGAACCTGAGCCACCAAAAGCCAAGAACCGAAGAACTGAAGCAACAATAGAAACAAAGCAAACTAAACCCAAAATTAGGAAACCTGAGATTCTGAGTCGAAACCGCGCCCCTTTGCAGACGCATGTGCAGGCAACTCTGGGGAGCTCCTGGAGGCGTTTGAGGCCTTCTTCCTCAGCAGCCATATAGTTTAGTGCTTAGGGCTTCTTGTGGCTTTGTTTAGTGTTTCGGTGCTTTTTCATGTGTCTGCTGCCCGCATGTTTTGCCAGGCTCACACAAAGGGACAATTCAAACAGCCACCATCGGAAACCGCCCATCATCTCCAACCTAGCCCACCAGGCCCAAAGTTTGCAGAAGGTTGTGGCACTTTAAACCATGGAGCCCAAAGCCTGGACATGAAGCCTCACTCGCCTTACCCGACCCTTTGAACCACACCTAGGACCTAATACCTGAAGCGAGCTGCGATGCTTGGAGGGCGGGGGCACTTAAGTAAATGTAGGCCCACTAGAGTTATTCTACTTCAAGCTAACCGGTTCAAACCCTACTGAACAACAGCTTACTAAGTTTCCCCGATCCTCCGGAGGTACCCAATGTCGGGTCACTCGGCTCCTTCGGGGCCTTAGCATGGGAGGCTACTCGGGCAAGTTCATTGGTTTCCGGTTTGCTGATGCTTAGTTTGATGCAGCAAGCGGGGTGCAACAGCTGCACGCGGTAAGGAGATATCTAATCAATTTGATCGTGTTTTCGCGAGCATGCTGAACACTGTTCATCCATGTGGGTGACTTCATTACCTTGCCTGCTCGTCCAGAAACGGAGCCTGTGCCATAACTTACTCTGCCTGCATCCCTTCATTGGCAAGGGTGTCGCGGTACTTGCGCCACATGTGGTAGTCGTCTCATCGGATGCAAGATGCCGGCACAGGAAGCGATCCAGAGAAACTCGTAGCTTCAGCGATGGTCTGCAGCAGGGCCTACTTGCAGGTTGCGGACAAACCGGGGCCAAGCGCAGACCCAAGCTCCTTCAGCCCTCTACATTTTCAAACTCCGTCTGAGCCCTCTTCAAGCAGCGATTTGGACCGTAAGTGACCTGGGACAGGAAGCCTGCACAAGGAAGGCAGCCTGCGTGGTGCTGGATGAAGACGAACAGCCTCAGGCCGCTTGGGCGAGGGTTTAGGCTCGATCTCTGGTGATGTCATACGTCTCGATGCTAAGTTGCACAGGTTACGTCGCTGGCGGCCAAAGTATGACCAGCTTTTAAGCATTTGCCGCTCTGATACGACTGTTCTTGAAGCTTCGTGAGACGGGAGAAGCAGCCACAAATGCCCACAGAGCCGAGTCAACGCAATGGAAGCTTTACGTGCGCTTGGGCTTTGTTGCTGCCATCAGTCTCACTGGACAGATTGAAGGGCTTTGCCACTCAAGTCATCCTTTCAATACCCCCAGGCAAAGGTACGCAAAGTCGGCCTTTGCTGCAGTAGGCCATAGTAGGCCTTCGCTAGGGAGCCTGGCCGCAGCAGCGGTGATTGGATGCTACGCTGTTAAACCAGATCGAGATCAGATGCCCAGGTTGCAACTGCTTGTACCTCGCAGTTCTCCGCTGCCGCCAACAGTGGCAAGATCGGTTTCCTCCGGTGGCACGCGTGTCCGTGAGAAGGACCCGGCCGAGACACAAAACGGAGGGTCGCCCCGGACTTTGCTTGATCAGAAGAGCCCAGGCTAACCGGCTAACCTTGCAGAACCTGGTGCCGTTCTGGCTTCTGCTGTATGGGCTCCGAGGTCCGAGACCGCAGCCTGGTGCCTCCGGAGTAGGACTTGGACTTCGTGCCAGGATCGATTGCCCTCTAGGCGACAGGCCGTTTTCCGTGTCTTTCCTGTGTCGTCCGAAAGCCTTTTCTCTCTTGCGTAGAGCCATGGTGCCGCGTTTGCTCGCCACCACGTGCTGCGCTTTCTTCATTCTGGTGTGGGGCTCAGACTTAGGCTCTCAGGCCATCATGAGAGCAATGCCCAGAGCGTGGAGTCTGCGAAACCTCACGAAGGAGTGCTCCTGCGTCTTTGTAGCGTAGCCGGCGTAGCCCTGCCCCAGTGAACTCCAGCGGAAGCTCAAAGCTGCCTCATGTTGAGGCGACACTTTTTCACTCCGGGACCTTTGCATTGTCTTTTGTCGCGCCTCAGCCACAGCAGGCGCCCGGAGCAGCTGTGAACCGGAAGCGGCAAGAAAGTGCAGCAATTCTGGCAAAATCGATGAAAGTCAAAGTCAAAGACTCTGGGCAATTTCATTACGACACCATTCAGGAAGAGGCTAAGACATGAGAATCGGGTATGTTGGATGGTAGTGGTGATAATCTTGGAGATGCCCGTGATGGTGATGCTGAGCATGGAGTCGCTGTGTGTGCAAGAGCAAGACCGAGAACAAAGCGCTTCTTGCCCCTGCGAGTCTTGAACTTATGGTGAGGGATGGTGGTGGTGGTCTGCAAATTCTCACCGGCCATCCGTTTTCGCAAGATAACTGGACAGTGCGAAGTTCACAGTGTAGTGTCTGGTTTATTTGGGGCATGCGATTCAACGAATGGCGCTGATTTGATTGCCATGTTCCGAACCAACCGCTCGTTCCGAAGCCCCACGGCAAGAAGCGAAGCCCATGGGTCATCTCCGAGAGCAGTAGATGCCAGGGTCGCAACAGCGGCCACTGGCAATCTGCTTCCGCCCTGACTCAGGCTGGTTTGAGGATTTCGGTTCTGGGGTTCCGGTCGCGGTCGCCCTCGCTTTTGGATCTAGTTTAGAAGGTTAGCGCTTCAGGGCGTGAGGTTCGGTTTCGCATTCGGTGTGCGGGAATCCAAGTAAACAGGTTTGGGCTCAGAGCTTGTTTCAGCGTTGCCATGCATTATTGAAAGACGCAGGCAAGATTAGGGGAGCTCTAACATGGAAACAGTCGTTTCGACACTGCATCGAAAGGGTTGTCGAGCAGGCGTCGATACCCTGTTATCATGAGCGTAAAGATGTCAGTATTCCTAGCAAGTTCAGGCGGAACCGGTCGGCGATTTGCAGCCTAGATCATGTTGGCCGTGTTGGCGCATAGTTTGTGATACTCAACATTCCGCTGGTCACAAACCAGCATAATTACTTGGCTTGGAGACCTGACATGAGTGAGTCTTGCACCAGGGAGCCACGGCCGCCCCGGCCTTTGAAGATGTGACCTCCCAGCCACGGTGGGCTGTGGTCACCTGGACAACTTTGGAAAGTCGAAGCAACGGCAATGTGACTACTAATACGATACGGTTTGTATGTGTATATATATATATATATATATATATGCTCACCCCCCCCCCCAAGATCCACGCCTGCCCTGCCCAGGTACTGGCCTAAATACGCTGCGACTGCACCAAAGATTTCGCAGATCCTACATTCTGCATTTCCTTCATATACACCTTGAGTTTTCCAAGCGACATACATTCGCGTACGGCTTCTTCTCGTGTTGCAAAAGAACGCAAGCTTGCATGCATGTTCTGTGTGTGTATAGGTTTTTGCATGCAGCAGTATGGGCTCTGAAGGTAACACGCAACAGGAAAGCAAAGATATATCATCCCATATCACATAGTATCACGACAAGTATCGATATGAAAAGACGGCCCTATTTCTACACCTCCCATATATAAGACGCATCGAGATTATAGATCATGTCCGTGAACACGAAATCTATCGATACTTTCAGGGCTCAACACCTTGTATTTCACCAACATAGTACCCTTTAGATTACATTTTAGAATACTTTGCAAAATTCCACTCTCATAACTTTTATACCTTGTACAAATCCATTTGAATATCCTGTCGCACACCGTATACAAGACCACCTATATAACCCCGCACGCATTATATTACACATACCCTATAGGACACTCTATACAAGACACTATATAGAATATCTTATAGGATGTCCTGTAGAATACTTTCTCTATGTATCTTGAAACCTTTCATATGGATGCACTGATATAGAATACCCTCATGCCTTATTGAATACCCTAGAGCTTCTGGAATACCTTATCATATACTTTCAGTCATAGCCCGTATATCTTTTGAATATCCAAAGTACCTTACAGAATACGGCATAGAATACCCTACAGAATACCTTATGGAACACATAGTACCCTCTATATATCGTACTCCTCATGGAAGACCGTCTGGAATACTCCAAAGAAGACCTCACAGAATGCCCCTATGGCCCTATGTATGACAGTCGATGTATACAGCATATATACCTTGAACACATATAACACCGCACGCATTATATTACACATACCCTATAGGACACACTCCTCGCGCACAAAACATCGGCCCGAAGCAATCATGCATCAGTCCTGCTCCACATGGTTTGCCGAGACGTCGGACTCATGTTCGTACTGAAAATAATTAGATCGTCCACATCCAACAATCTTTGCCGCAGCATTCACGGTTCTAGCAAGAAACTTAGAGTAGAATGGTCCCTGAATTCTGCTTCTCCAAACCCAAATTTTAGGGACCGTACAGCACTTTAGGGCACTGGAGCTTCAAAAGTGCTGCACTGTCCCTAAATTTGGCCTCTGCCAAACCCAACTTTTAGGGACAGTACAGCACTTTAAGGCACCTGGGTTTCAAAAGTGCTGTACTGTCCCTAAGATTTGGCTTTCCCAAGCCGAAAGCGCTGTACTGTCCCTAAAAAACCTAAAAAACCTATCCTCCAGAGACTATCGGCTGGGAACGCCTGAAGGTTGCTGGGGGATAGGTTTTTTAGGTTTTTTAGGGACAGTACAGCACTTATGGCTTGGGAAAGCCAAATTTTAGGGACAGTACAGCACTTTAGGGCACTGGAGCTTCAAAAGTGCTGTACTGTCCCTAAATTTCGACTCTGCCAAACCCAACTTTTAGGGACAGTACAGCACTTTAGGGCACCTGAGCTTCAAAAGTGCTGTGCCGTCCCTAAAACTTGGCTTTCCCAAGCCGAAAGCTTGTCGGACATAAGACCCTCTCTCAGCCGAAAGCGCTGTACTGTCCCTAAAAAACCTATCCTCCCGAGACTATCGGCTGGGAACGCCTGAAGGTTGCTGGGGGATAGGTTTTTTAGGTTTTTTAGGGACAGTGCAGCACTTTTGGCTTGGGAAAGCCAATTTTAGGGACAGTACAGCACTTTAGGGCACTGGAGCTTCAAAAGTGCTGTACTGTCCCTAAACTTGGCCTCTGCCAAACCCAACTTTTAGGGACAGTACAGCACTTTAGGGCACCTCAGCTTCAAAAGTGCTGTGCTGTCCCTAAAATTTGGCTTTCCCAAGCCAAAATTGCTGTACTGTCCCTAAAAAACCTAAAAATCCTATCCTCCAGAGACTATCGGCTGGGAACGCCTGCAGGTTGTTGGGGGATAGGGATTTTAGGTTTTTTAGGGACAGTGCAGCACTTTTGGCTTGGGAAAACCAAATTTTAGGGACAGTACAGCACTTTGGGGCACTGGAGCTTCAAAAGTGCTGTACTGTCCCTAAATTTGGCCTCTGCCAAATCCAACTTTTAGGGACAGTACAGCACTTTAGGGCACCTGAGCTTCAAAAGTGCTGTGCTGGCCCTAAAATTTGGCTTTCCCAAGCCCAAATGAAAAGGACTGCACAGCAATTTTCAACACTAATGCTTGTAAAATCAGATTGATAGTGACAGCATACTATTGTGCGTAGTGGTATATCAACAATCTTTTCCAAAAATACAAGTTATGTCATGCCTTTGGTTCCTTGGCGGTATTTTGGTGTTGGCACTCTGCCTCCCACTAAGACATTGATTTCGGAACCAGATCCTGGTGTGCAAAATGTTCGATGTCAAGAGTTTGTAGACATGCTATGAGCAAAGTAGCTGTTCTACAGAGAAGCCGTGCCCGCTGGTATTTACAGCACGTTCTGCACATGGAGAAGGTAGGTTCGAAACGCTTGGTTATGCGTGAGAGAGAGGAACAGAGAGGGTGTGGATCTTGGGGGGGGGGGGGTGACCATATATATATGTATATATATATATATATATATATATATGATTGACATGAAATATGAGCAGAAATATGTGTGTGTATATATTTTTTGTCTCCATAAATATGTGTGTGTGTGTGTGTATGTATATAACTGTATATAAATATATGTATTTACGTGGGTATAGCAAGATAGGAGCGATCCGGGAGCTTTAAAGGCATGGTCGGGGAGCTCCAAAGTTTTGGACAACAGGTGGTTCAGCTGAGATGTCACCGTAGATCAGATCGTGAGGCATTCTAATGTCGATCATCCTGCTTCATTGATGAGCTGGGTCTTCGAACCTCAGACTAGATGTTGCAAATGCTTGGGCAACTAAGATTTGAAATCGGCGGAGTTTGTGCCCTCGTCCAGTCTTGTTGGCAGTCTGTGACGTGATTGAGCCACATCTTGGCAAATTGCAAGAGTTTGCCACTCTACCGGCCCCCTCCTGCCCTCTCGCGCCCACCCTCAAAAGCTTAGCTCGAAAAGCTTCCCAGCCTTGAGGCAGCGGCCACCGCCATGGCGGCCTTGGCGATGCGAAAGTACAGCAGAGTGGCGTTGGCAGCCAAGGCCGCCAGGGGCATTTCGAGGGGCCGCTTCGACAGTTCTAACAGCTTTCCCACAGCTTCCGATTCCTTTGACCTGGAAGGGCAGCAAGAAGCCACAGCTTCGTAACATGGAAGCACCGGAGACTGCGGATGCTATTCGCGAGGAGCTGGGAATGAAGCTCGGGGTTGTAGGACATGGCGGATGCGGCAGGGGCGGGATGTCTAGGCGCTTCCATCACGTGCCCAGCTTCAGCAGCCTTGTGTTTGACAGCCTTAAGCAGGAATCTGTGGAATGCATGAACTGCAGCTGTCAAGAGTACAACAAGCGTGTTAGCATATTCTAGTCTGTTACGTTTGGTGCTAGGAAATGTCGTGGAGAAAGAGCCGAGTTTCTGCTGCGGTATTTGATACGAGGGCTGCAGTTCAAGAGATTATGCATGCTGGAGAGTCTGAACACGTCTTGACTGAAAGCCAAGCAGCGCCACCTTTGTCATACACAACAGCGTTTGCAGTGACATGCACGGAGTTTCCTCCGCCTCCGCCCAGCTTCCACGTCAAGCAGTCTGCGTCTAAATTGGGCGCAGAGAGTTTGAGATGCAATTCGGGATTGACGGACGCCTGTGAAATCTGAGATCCAGATGTCCAGGTGATGGATGCCCAGAAAATTCCTTCAACGCAATACATAACACTGCTGGTGCAGTTTTACGACTCCTACCTTGAAACCGGATCTCTGGACTGTTCATTGAACACAGGAGTGTTTATTTCACTGCAAGCCTCCCGACTTGCTGTCTAAAGTCTAAAGCTCTTAGAAGGTTAAAGACATCCCTCTCGATTTCCACACCCTCCAGGAGCGCAAGAAGGGTGCTAAGCAGGTGCGTGGAGGAGAGAAAGGGCAGAGGCAAGGCAAGCAAGTTTGTCAGCGGCAGCTTTTCCGCTGCCCTCTTGTACATGTATGCATGCATGCACCTGCCTGCCTGTGCCCGCATAATTGCACGTGGGAAATTGCCCGCATGTAGCCAGGTAGGAAGCGACGTGAGCATTCCTACACTTACTGGCATGTTATCTGATGTAAATTGCAGACCCTTCGTTGAACCTGTGCTTGTAGAACTCCTGCTTGCTCCAAAACTCGCATCCTGACATATCCTGGCCCCCAGCATGCAGGTTCTTCAGTACCCGCAACCGCAAGTTCTGGGACTTCACAAACTGGCCTTGTCCTTAGGATGCCGGGATGTTCGGCAGGGTACTGTGTTCATCCAAGGCCCGTTGGCTTCTTAGGCCTTGATACTGATCCAGGCGTGTCATATCCGATTCGGCTTGGATGGTTTGGCTATTCCTGGCCGGTTCAGGTGGTCATGGATCGCTCGCACCTGCTGTGGTTGCGATGTTTGACGCAAGCTGTTCGTGTGCAACTGTAAGCAGACACGAAGATCCAGACAAGAACCCTTGAGAAGTTCAGTACAGCAATACTGACTTAGTCCCAGCTATAACTATGGTTCCTGTGTGAGCCCCTTCAAGGCCACGCACATACTGGCAGCGAACGTGGGAGAAGAAGGCCTTCTGCTCTGGTCCCATTTCAATCGGATGCTCACTTCGAACATCTAGTGGATCCCAACTCAAGGTGCTCTTTCGGATTGAGTGCTTTTCAGCACAGCGTATCTTTGTGTGTACGGGCTCAGCTTAGATTGAGCTCTTGGAGAGACTGGGCTCCAGGCTCCCGCAGTTAGTAATGCAATGACAAGGACGTCCCAGAAGTTACGATGACTCAAGCAAGCAGTGCTTGCACCTGCGGCATGCCACTAGTCTACACATGCACGCGCCGCATAGAGCTGGAAAAGTTTTCGAACACGGTACACTCTAGTGAAGCGAAAGGTTTCTCTGTGAAGCAAAGTTATCTCAGTGTGTTACTTCTCACTCGCCCAGAGGGGGCACTCGATGCATGCAGGCGTGGGCGTGCGTTTTTGTCCTGTCGGTCAGAGTCCCTGACCAGCCTGCAGGACTTCCTCTACGCTCTCTTCTTCGGCCACTGCGATGCAGCTTGAGTTGTCATGCTGAGCTTGGCCGCACGTAGTATCATGATCTGCTAACAGCAGGAGTTCAGGATTTGTTGCATGGGACTGGAATCCTACCAGCATGACTTTAAAAACATGGGCATCGATGGCCCTGTCCGTCTGGCCACAGCACCAGCTCTTCCAAAATTCAATAAACTCCTCAGGACGCTTGGAAACTGTATAACTTGACCTCCACCGTTTCCCGAGGCGCAATCCACGTAGGCGCGTCGGGCCTGGGAATCTCGTAGTCTTGGAAGCTCAAGAAATGGATTCTCCCGCACTGCGGCGCTCACCATGGAGTGTTCGGTGCAGGTCCTCTGTGTTTCTAGGCGGAGGCAACTGAGTTCGGCTAATGCTCCGTTGCACTGGATGGTGTTGGATGTTGTTCCTTCCCAGTGCTTGCACACCTCTCTCATAAGCGTAGAACGGGGCCTACAAGATTGCAGCTCCCCATCTGAGCCTGAAGCATGAGACTGTGCTTGGGGCAGCAGGCCCGCCGGACTTTCCTCAAAAGCTACGCCTGATCGCAGGAGCCTGCTTCGCACCATTTTACTTCACGTGGAAGGCCTTTGCCTGCTTCTTCATCGGCTATGCAGCTCACTTGCACGGCAGGAATTTGACTCGCTGACTGGTCATCTGCATAGAAGACCAGGGATGGTGCGCTTCCGGACCGCTCTTCGCAGTTCAGGTCATGACCGGAATGCTCGGCATCACGCTGTCATACCATCGGCAGCTTGCCCACCTCTCCTTCAAGAGCCCGAAGGTGACTTGCATCAGAGCCAAGACATTTCGCAGAGAGCATCGCTGTCACTGCACCCTGCAACTGAGATCGTGGAGTACTTCCTTGCCTACTGCGGATGCTTGGCGGTGCAAAGCCATCCCATCAACTGGGTGCCCCGGCGAAGCTTGTGGATTCCGGGCTGATTTTGCAGCCTACCGAGAGTGCTGCCTGTTGAGGTGTCCTCTCATCGACATCATCACGGCGCCACCGCACCTCGGCATAGCTGTGGCTGTGGGCTGGGCGATGACATTCCGTGAAGGGAAAGAGCGGGAAGAACCTGCTGCTAGTGTATCATGCTCTGTTTGGCCCCCTCACGAAGATTCATATAGCATGCCTTGCGTTAGCCTCGGCAACGTGGCTCTCTTGCCCCCTGCTCACGACTCGCCTGTCATCCAACCCGACAGCTAACGAAAACCAGTACGAAAACCCGAGACCTCACGTCCTAAGCCCGAACTCTCGCGCCGATCATCCGATAAATCCCAACGACCCGATGCTCTGAAAGGACACGGCCAACGATGTGCACTCCCCGAAAGATGGCTTTTGGTGGTCCCATGCCGGCTGGCTCCTTGACCAGAAGGCAGGAGACGGCAGGAGCAAAGTCGCTTGCATTGTAGATTTGGGAATTTAGTTTTAGGGTTCTGGGGTTTTAAGGTTTAGGGTTCTGGGTTCTAGGGTTTTAAGGTTTAGGGCTCTAGGGTTTTAGGGTTTAGGGCTCTAGGCTTTTAGGGTTTTGAGGTTTAGGGTGTAGGGTTTTAGGGCTTCTACTATGGATCGGAGTAGCGGGGCTGATGGGACACTCGGAGGTTCTTCATCGCGCTTTGTTGCACGGCTTTTTTTGGGCTATATGGAGTACGTATGGGGTTCGGTGCTTAACGGGTTTTGCAATCAGGGATCTTGTAATTATGGGTATTGCTAAATACAGATCCTTCCAATAAGTTGTATTAGGGATCTTACTAGATCCTACTATTATGTAATAATTATAGGCTTCTTTTTCTGAAATGCCCGTATGCTTTCCCGCTGGCCCGCAAGAGACGCTGAGCCGGATGCATGCACCCAGTCCGTCCATTGACACATCGACTCGCGAGTCAGTCAAATCGTCTTTGCACCAGCGTCCCATTGCCCCTATATATTATATATACTTTAATTGGTATGTATGTCTATATATATACACACACATATAAGTTTTATATGATATTATATTATGTACTATATAGTATATACCTTTCCTGCTGTCTCGTCGAACATGCACTGCACAAGCCGCAGCCCTCTTGGAGCAGGGCACGTGGATGAGGGTGGACCGCTCCAACGCCGAAGACCTGAGCAAGCAGAACCTAGGCAGCAATTAGTAGTAGCAGTAGTAGTAGTAGTAGTAGTAGTAGTAGTAGTAGTAGTAGTCGTAGTCGTAGTCGTAGTCGTAGTCGTATCGTCATCGTCGTAGTAGTAGTAGTAGTAGTAGTAGTAGGAGTAGTCGTAGTCGTAGTCGTCATAGTCGTCGGAGTCGTAGTAGTAGTAGTAGTAGTAGTAGTAGTAGTAGTAGTAGTAGTGGTAGTAGTAGTAGTAGTAGTAGTAGTAGTAGGAGTAGGAGTAGGAGTAGGAGTAGGAGTAGGAGTAGGAGTAGGAGTAGGAGTAGGAGTGGAGTAGGAGTAGGAGTAGGAGTAGGAGTAGGAGTAGGAGTAGTAGTAGTAGTAGTAGTAGTAGTAGTAGTAGTAGTAGTAGTAGTAATAGTAGTAGTAGTAGTAGTAGTAGTAGTAGTAGTAGTAGTAGTAGTAGTAGTAGTAGTAGTAGTAGTAGTAGTAGTAGTAGTAGTAGTTTCCTCATATGGTATGAACTGTAGGATGAATCAGCAGTAGTCTGTCCATTTCCGGTATGTAGGACGGCAAGTGTTGCAACAGACACGAGTTTGTCAAGTGGGGGGCTGACGCAGACTCTCGGAGATGTATGTCAACGTACACTTTGGCGCCCCATCCCCGCCCTCGGCCTTCGGTGCTCATAGATTTTGAAGCAGCTCTTGCCCTGCACTGCCCATCTCCAAAGTATGCCAAGAGTCCCGACGACCGACCCTCCCCTCCCCTTGCAGGGTGCCTGGACATGCCCTGAGCCACTCCTAGGCCCGAAGCAGCTACGGGTATCCTTCCTTCACCCTCCATGGCAGTATCTGCTAGCACATTCCGCACAAGTTCTTACCGGCAGAGACTGTTCTTTTTTGGCACCTGGGTGTTCGACTCAAGAGTTGTTGACAGTCAAGGTGGTTCTATCGCTTCATGCAGAAGACCTACCCAATCCATGCGCGGACCCGAATTCACACAGCCCACAGTCAGTTGTGTAGCGATGTGTTTCACAGCCCATCTTTCGAAGTTTGTGGTTCAAGTTCGGACTGGCAGAGATGGGACAACGGGTCGGTAGCTTTATTGCAAGGCCACAAGAGCCATGTCGATCTCCGTCCGCGTGGGTCTCATGAGCGGGAGAGCTGCGTGGATTACCTGCAAAGGCAATTGCACCATAGGCGAGCTCCGACTCCAGGCACAGAATGCCTTAGAAACTGGAAGGGGCAGACTGGTGAATTCAAGTTTGAAGGTGCTTCGAGATGAAGCTACACTCGACCAAACAGGCATCAAGACCGGAGCGGACTTGCTCTTACACTTTCGACAACTGTCGTTGGCTTCTACTGAAAGGGGTTTTGCGGCTCTACTCAGCGATGGATCTGTTGCAACTTGGGGCCATCCTGACGATGGCGGCGACAGCAGCTCTGTCAAAGACCAGCTCAGGACCGTGCAACAGATCCAATCCACAAATCGTGCATTTGCTGCCATCCTTGCCGATGGAACCGTGGCAACTTGGGGGCATGCAGGTTGCGGTGGTGACAGCAGCTCCGTCAAGGAGCTGTTGAAGGACGTGCAGCACATCGAGGCCACACACGAGGCGTTTGCTGCGATCCTCAGTGACAGATCTGTCGTGACTTGGGGTTCTGCTGGCTGGGGTGGTGACAGCGGCTCCGTGCAGGATCAGTTGAAGACCGTGCACCAAATCGAAGCTACGATTGGCGCATTCGCTGCAATCCTAGGTGATGGATCTGTCGCAACTTGGGGCCATGCTGGCTGGGGCGGTGACAGCAGCTCTGTGCAGGATCAGCTCAGGGCCGTGCAACAGATCCAGGCTTCAAATTATGCTTTCGCAGCGGTTCTCACTGATGGATCCGTCGCAACTTGGGGCCACGCCGGTTGCGGTGGCGACAGCAGCTCTGTCAGGGCGCAGCTGAAAGACGTGCAGCACATAGAGGCCACCATTGGTGCATTCGCTGCGATCCTCAGTGACAGATCTGTCGTGACTTGGGGCCATGCTGGCTGGGGTGGTGACTGCCGCTGCGTCCAGAAGCAACTCAAAAATGTGCAGCAGCTCCACGCCACAAATCGTGCCTTTGCTGCGATCCTCGCCGACGGGTCTGTTGTGACTTGGGGCCATGCTGGTTGGGGAGGCGACAGCAGTGTCGTTCAGGATCAGTTGAAGGACGTACGGCAGATCCAGGCCACAGATCGTGCATTTGCTGCGATCGTGAGTACTGGATCTGTCGTGACTTGGGGGGATTCTATTTTGTGCGGCTACAGCAACTCTGTTCAGGAGAAGCTAAAGGACGTGAAGCATGTCCAGGCTTCGAGTCGTGCCTTTGCTGCTATCCTCAGCGATGGATCTATCATATCTTGGGGTGGCGATGCCAGATGGGACGGCCTTAATTAAGCCAAGACGCTGCGTCCTGGAGCAGCTGAAAGCCCTGCAACAAATCCAGCTTGCTATTGCCGGCTCGTTGCGACATTCGTATCTTAGTGTCTTTGTTAAACAAAAATTGGTTGTGACATGTCGAAATTCGACGGAAGGCCGTGACGAGATATAAGCAAGCAAGCATTGCGCATTTGTTGCAGCAATGTCCGATGGAGGGGTGGTTACTTGGCGCTTGTGTTTGCGCTGTTTGTGGTGATGGCGGCGCTGATGTCAACGATCAAGACGATCGCAGCATGAAGCATGTGCCAACTTGATGTTATTCGAACTGAAATCCCTGGCGGCTAGCGATGTCGCACTTGCTTAGACGGACCCCAAAGCTGGTCCTCAAGCAGTCGGAGCTGGTGCAGGGCGTACCCTAGTACGCCGGCCCAAAGTGGCCTTTCATTAACCGACAATGTACGGAGAGAAGAGGGCCTGGAAAACACTGCGGCCCTTGTGATTGTGAAGACTTGCAGCACGGCCTCGAGTTGTAAGGCCCTTGTGCTTCCCATCGTCGGTCTGTACTGCTTCGGCGGCCTGCCTTGTGCCCGAAGCCCAGGTGGATCGGTCCGGGGCTCCCCCAAAGCCCAAGATAGGGGTAGGACGCAGGGGCAGACTGGTTTGCTGTGAAGGAGTCATTGGTCGCTGTCTTGTTGCGCATCCTGACTTCGTATTGACGGTTCTTCCCCACCCCAAACACTCTGTTTTATTCGCAGCCAGAACTGTGCTGATGCCGCCAGTGCTTTTGGTAAGGTCTTCTGGGGCTTCTTTGCCCGCACCGTGTGGACTTGGCATGTGACCTGGGCGGTGAATTCCGTCAGCCATGTTTGGGGTTCCTCGGCTGGGCTTATCCTGCAAGGTCTGCCTATGTCTGCCGATGGTAGGGACTACGTGGGACGGGTTGCAGAGCAGATGGTGCGCAAGCGAAGTGCACTACAGCAGTTGCGTGCGGGGTTTGAGACCATGATGACGTTTTAGTGATGCCAAGGCATCGCTGTTTTTGATTCAGCCATGCAGAAATTTGCGTGTTCGTCCTTCAAATGGCTACTTGTGGCTTGAAAGCGACCTTGAAGCTGTCAGATTTCCGGTATCACTAGAGGCCCAGTCTCGCCAAGGCTTCCAGGACTGGAACACGGGGGACATTTCGATGAACAATTGGCTGGTTGGTATCCTGGCCTTCGGTGCCTCGGCCAAGTCTCCGAATTTACCAAACTGTGCCGTTACACTACAGGGGCGGGGTTCTCAAGCAGGGTGGTAGCTCCCGCAACCGCCGATGTGGGAAGCAGCCGTCTGACAGGAAGTCATCTGCTGTCTTTGTCATTAATGTTTTTGAAGAGACCCTCGAGCAACCAACGGGCATCCAAAACCAGCCCTCGATGATCAGCCTGTCGGAAGCTCAAATCCACAGGTGAAGGATGGCACAACAACCATCACGCCTTCGAGACTTCGTGCAGGCATGGGCTGCTGCTTGGCAACCATCGGCCACATAAGCCAGTGTGCGGCTTCGGTCGTACATTAAACTTGTGATGTACGCCACGGCGAGCTATCCGTGACAGTCACACATGAGAGGGAGCCCAAGCAATCAGTTTCTTCTGCAGAGCTTTGGGGTGGCCTCCGAACACCGAGGAAGTGGTGGCAAATCGCGACGGACTCAGTGCACGTACAGAGGCTCCCAAGGTCAGAAAAGATGGTACCGCCTCTGTGGTTGAGATTCTGCAGTGGCATCCCCTCGCTATGTTCAGTTGTGAATCCATGCGCTATACAGCCATACTCCCAAAAATTGAATTGGTGGGTAGAGCAGTGAGTCGTCAGCAACTGCAGTGAGCCGACACGGTTCCTGTCAGTGGTCGTAAGTCAAAAAGGGTCCCTCCAGAGCTTCTCGCGCCGAGGACGTGACTTGGTACACCATCAAGGCGCTGGAGTTCTTTGGCTTGGCTTGGGACTTGAAATACCCGCATCTTGGCAGCTATCAGTTTGGACGGGGTAGAGGGGGGCCTGTGAAGCTCCTCTCGAACCTCCATGGCGTGCAGGCTCGCAACCAGTTCGCAACTCTGCAGCCCCTTTCTTTCAGAAGGCCGCTTACAGCTTTAGCCACATCAAGCAGTTCGGGGGTTTGCTGTCTTTATCGAAGGGCAAGCACCGCCAGCACTGACCCTGCGGCCCCAAATCGCCGAAATCCGTCAAGAGATCGCCTTGGTTGGGCATTGTCATCATCACCTGTATCGTCATGACGACCATGATCAGAGCAGTGTGCAGCAAGACTTTGACAACAGCGCAGCTTGACGGAGCATGTAAGACCTGCTTCTGCAGAGGTCGGAAGCCAAGAAGAGGCCGGAACCGGCAAAGCAACGGTAGAGCACTTCAACTGTGAGTTTAGCCACAGGTGATATGTGGTTCCAGGATCTCGAAGTTTTCAGGGGGCATCTGAGCTTTGCAATGGGCTGGCGGCTGTTCAGATGTAGTTCAGTTGTCTGCATCGTACGTTGCCATTGAATTCAGCGAAACAGGCGTAAGGCAGCATTGAACCTGGAAACTGGGACTTCCTTCAGATTCGGTCCTCAACATCGAGCGGCTGAAAGCTCCAAGACGGATCCTGTTTTTGAGAAGCCCATGTGCACGGGCCTTGAGTTTCAACATTGCAGTGGCTGCAGCGTTGGTCCTCATCGCTGGCCGCGGGCCTCCTACTCAAATCCCTCACACCCGACGTTGGCCTTGGAAGCCCACCGCCAGCAAAAATCCAAGACCCTGAAACCTGGCAGCGGGCCCTCCTGTCAGGAAGCTGAGCTGGGATCAGGAGCCGGGCACCGCCGGAGCGGCCTTGGCTTAAGAGGTGCAGCCTGGGCACTGCGTGCCTTGGGCTGCAGAGGGCAGAGAGTTCATGATCTACGTGAATTGAACCAAACCCACATTAGAGTGTTCACAGAAGCGATAAAGATGACAATCAAAAAGTTCGCTACCAGGAGGGTTTGCTTCGGCGATTTGTTCTGTTAGGGCTTGGGATGTTGAGGGATCAGCCATCTACCCGCCATTTTGGACGGGATCGTGGTACTGTAGAGGAAGGCCCGATGGCTCCCAAAGGGTTGGAGCCGTTGCAAAACTTGAAGGTCAACTGCACTATCTTGTTGCCGTAGGTCGTTCAGGTCTTGACTATCTACACTGTCTATCGATCCATCTCTCTTTCTCTCTCTCTCTCTCTCTCTCTTTCGCTCTCCCCCTCTCTCTCTCTCTCTCTCTCTCTCTGTCTCTCTCTCTCTCTCTCTCTCTCTCTCCCTCTCTCTCTCTCTCTCTCTCTCTCTCTCTCTCTCTCTCTCTCTCTCTCTCTCTCTCTCTCTCTCTCTGCTCTCCCCCTCTCTCTCTCCTCTCTCTTCTCTCCTCTCTCTCTCTCTCTCTCTCTCTCTCTCTCTCTCTCTCTCTCTCTCTCTCTCTCTCTCTCTCTCTCTCTCTCTCTCTCTCTCTCTCTCTCTCTCTCTCTCTCTCTCTCTCTCTCTCGCTGCGCATGTGTGTATCTATGTGGGTATACATATCTCTCTCTATATATATATATATATATATATATATACGTATATATATATATATATATATATATAGAGGCATATATACATGTTTTCATCAACACATACACAGACAAGCGCATGCAGAGCGCATGCATGCATGTATAAATACAATCAAACATACATACATACATACATACATACCTACGTACGTACGTACATACACGCATATATATATATATATATATATACATATATATATATATATATATATATATATATATATATATATATATATATATATATATATGCTAGCCCCCCCCCAAGACCAACCCTGAATTCCCTAAATTCCCTAATTCCCTACCCATTGGATTTAGGGAATTCCCTATTTCCCTAAATTCCCTAATTCCCTACCCCATGTGTTGGATTTAGGGAATTCCCTATTTCCCTAAATTCCCTAAATTCCCTACCCATGAACGGAAACCACTGAATCTGATCCATGGGGGTCAGAATTAGGGAATTTAGGGAATTTAGGGAAATAGGGAATTCCCTAAATCCAACACATGGGGTAGGGAATTTAGGGAATTTAGGGAATCCGACACATGGGGTAGGGAACTAGGGAATTTAGGGAATTTAGGGAAACAGGGAATTCTTTAAATCCAACACATGGGGTAAGGACTTAGGGAATTTAGGGAATTAGGGAATTCCCTATAAGGGTTAGGTTTAAGGAATTTAGGGAGTTTAGGGAATTAGGTAATTCCCTAAGTCCAACAGATGGGGTAGGGAATTAGGGAATTTAGGGAATTAGGGAATTTAGGGAATTCAGGCAATTTAGGGAAATTAGGGAATTTAGGGATTTTAGGGAATTCCCTAAATCCAACACATGGTCCTGGCTGGGAGTCAGGAAAGTTAGGGAATGCGCTAAAACCAACACATGGGGCTGGAAATTAGGGTATGTAAAGACTTTAGGGATTGAGGGAGTCTGCAGGAACTCACGCATTCTGTAAATTCGAGGCATGGAAGCAGTGATTAGAGAATTTGGGGAACTCGACCTCGCGACGTCGCCGGTTGACGGGTCTGTGCAACTGAAACTTGTAGTAATATTGATATTATTTTGAAAATTTTGAAAACTATAATACTCGTACGAGTACTAATACTTATAGTAATACTACTGGTGAAACTGATAGTAATGCTAGTATGAATACTGATGTTCCCAAGAATACTAGAAATCATGTACATTGTAAGAATAGTCTTGATGCGAATACTAATATACATACTATAGCTAGTATTATCGCTAGTATGAATATTGGCTACGCATATTCGTGAAATTACTCATTTTCGGAGTGCTCATAGTCATGCTAATATTAGCATTAAGGCTAGTGCGAACGTGCATAATAAAATGCTCCTACATGAATGTTAGCGTTCGTATTTATATCAGCATTGGCATGTTTTCCAGTAGTACTAGTAACTCATACGAAGAGTAACCTCAAGTTTCATATTCCGACGAATACCAACGCATGTTTTGTTCATATTAATTCTAATTCTACTACTACTAGTATCTACTCCTTGTATTGAAAAAATTGTACCAATACCAATTTTAGAACTGATGTGAACACAAACTTTAATGTTCTTGCCAATACTAATATGCATAGTAATATTAGTTAGCATGAATGTATAGGAAAACTAATGTTCTTACGAAAACTAATAATCATGTTCCCCCTTTATATTCATATAAGAATCGTCATGCCTAGATACGTACTAATGCTAGTACTCATGCTAATACGAGTATTAATACCAATACAAGCATAGGTATGAATATTCCTACGGGTATTTATGCTCATGTTCTTAACAAAATTATTCTCAGTACGAATACCGACATTAATAGTCTCTTTAGAACAATATTGATATTAGTATGAACACTAATACTTCGGCTAGTACGAACATGCATAATACTAGTAAAATTATTTGTGCTCATACAAATATAGAAAGATTATTACATACTCATATTAATATCAATGCCAATATGAATTTACAAACATCATATTAATGTCAATATCGTTTTTGTAATGTATACTAAAGAACACATCAGAATACGGCACGAAAATGAATGAATCAGATTGTTAAAAACTCAATGTTTTCATTTACCAATATGTATGGTTATAGTATTATACTAATACACTAATAAAATAATATACTAATATACTGGGAAACTGATATGCCAATAGACCATTTTTAATACTATACCAATATACGAGTATACTGAAAACTGTTTTTGTTAATATACATGTTTTGTTTATATACCAATATGCTGAATATACACATATGAATACTGATACACATAATGTACTAAGACTAAGTTTTTAAGGCCCAGCCCACGTCAAATATTAATACGAATACTAACACGAACACTAACACTAACACTGCTTTAGACATATATTTAACTAAAACTGGAGCACAAATACTCATATTCATATTAAAGTTAACACTGACGTTGACACTGACACCAGCATCAGCACTAACAGGAACATTAATCAAACGAATAGTAATATTGGACAGATACCAGCAGCATTGTTAGAACTTCTAAAATTAGTAATGACACAAAACTAATACTAATGCTAACGCTAGCAAAATATTAAGGTTACTACTCACAATCATTAAGGTTAAAACTTAGAACAAAATTAAGTCAAGACCAATGTTAACACTGTTTTTTTAAGACTGAAACTAAGAATAAGACTTTGACAAGATGACGATAATTAATAAAGGATGAGGCACACAAACTGGACTCTGACTTTTACCACTCCGACAAGACGCGCCCAGAGTGTAAATGGTGTCCATAAAACTGAACCCTGTTTTTTACCAGTCTGTCAAGAGGCGTCGAGAGTGCAAATTTTGTACGGGAACACAAACACCATCGGTATTTACAGTGGTTTCGGCTCTTATCCATGACGCTGTGAAGACACTAGTGAGCAGGACAATGGTCGAGGTTGGTCCTGGGGGGGTTACCATATATATATATATATGTATTTATATACATGCAATACATATACATAAGTATGTACACTCACTTTTCTGGATTGTTCCCCTTATCTTCTGCCTACTGTCTATACATCAAGTAGCTGCATATCAAAGCTAGTTTGCTCGTGTTCATATATTCTCTCGCCTCATCGTAATCTTCGGTCTGGTCGCGGGTGTTGTCGGGATGCTAAGAACACGTCTTGCGGATACCTGTGTAACTTGTAATGCTGAATCCGGTAGCAAGGCTACCCTTAGAGCAGATTTGACACTGAAAGCTCAGCCCAACACCTTCTCCAGGAGGATTTACAGATGACTCCTCCAAGTTTCTCAATGCGAGCGTCCTCTTGACGTTGCTCGGTGGCAAGGTGGTGCAGCCGCACAGTCAAAGCGAGGAGGTTTCGGATTGGGGTCTTCAGGTGTTGGCATGGAGTTCAGAGCGACGGCTGAGGGCGAGGAGCCGTGTTTGGGATATCTTATCTTGACGTGGCACAACCTTAGATTCCAAACTTCGCATCCAACAACACCTTAAGGTTGAATCCACTCCTCATGAAGGCCGCTCATATTCCGGCCGCATTCCTCAAAGTGAGAATGCCATAGGTGCGCATGCAGCGAAGCTTCTCGTCACTGGAGCTGCAAGTTTGTTACTTGAGCTCCGTTTTTTTCTGTTGCGATTGTTCGACCATAGCAGCTTCACGTTCTTGTAGGGTAGTTTTCTACATGTGCGAGTACGATGTGATGCCACAGCAGGGTAAACCGTAAAGGCAAACCGCAGCGATCGTCCGCGAGCTCTGCTTTGCGAAATCTGTAGAGAGCTGGAGCTCGGTACACGGTGGCTTCTTGCGAGGGCAACCTTGCAAGCGCAATTAACTGTACCCGTTCGCCACATGCACTCGACCTGCCATGTTCGCGTGTTAGAGGATGCTGGCAGACTCAGTTTTCCACACAACTCTGTGCAGAGTCCAATTCAATCTGGATAGTGTGGCACTATCAGCGTCAACATAGGCGTTCCAGCTGGCAAAAGGCTAGGTGCTGCGCGTTCTCGGTCTTGATGCAATCGATGATTCAATCAACGCGGTTGGTGAATCTTCGCGACTTTCGTGTCTTATGTGTTGAGAGAAATGCATGCGCACTAGAGTACTTTGTTGGCCCTTGCGCTTGCAGGCTCCAGCTTGATCAGACATGATGCCACGAGATCTTCGGGCACACGGAAGACAGAATCAGCTGAATCACGCTCCATGCCCAGCCGGCCGTGCGACGGAGTCTTACACGAGCATATGCAGAAACAAGTCCTGAGACTCTACTCCTACATTGCGTTACGATTTCATCCAATGTCGGATCGAACATTTACGCATCAAAGCTTCAAGTTTCAGAACAGCATCCGAAGTCCAAAAACCAAGAGCTTTGCCAAACACATCTGAGTCCCCAGCCACATGTCAACCTTGAGCCCAAACCGAAGCAAGCACGAGATCCCAAACCAGGATGCGCTTCAGAACCCCGGAGACCCCTTGAATCCGGGGCCCCTGCACACGCGAACTTCGTAGCCGGTCCGGAAAAATTCCGCCATTGTTCATGCCGAATGCCGGCAGCCGACGAGGTGCTGTTACTTTTGCGATCTTTCGTCAAAGGGTTTAGGGAAGTTGTCTTCGGCTTCAGATACCTGGCACGACCTTGACATGAATAACGAGTACCCTACGCAGACCTTACAGCGAGCAAGAGGATCCGCTTTATGAAGCTCATCTGCCAGCAGAAGAACTACAAGCCTTGGGCTGTCTCCACGGAAGGAAAAGCCTAGTGTAGTAGCCTTCATATGGAAGACCGCCAGTCAAGACTTACGCCATGGTACATGACCCTATCGGGCTAGAGAATTAGCATCGCAGGATAGTAGAGCTTTTCTATAAGTACATTGCTTAACGATACAGCCAGAATCCACACATGTAGTTGGGCCGAGAGGGTTTCGGCAGTGGCGGGCGGGTTCTTTGCAGATGGAAGCCTAGGGTTGAAGGTCTAAGCGCAAGGCTCGAGCTTCGCACTTTGAACTGCTTACAGAGCAGGGTTAGAGCTTCCTTCGAACCCGCCTGTCGAGTCGATCCAGTGGTCCCTTGTATGTGAGACTAGTTTGCATTTGGAAAACGGCAAAATGTTGATCTTTCAGGAATGATAGTCTCCCCCTTGCAAGCAGTGGATTCCGTTTTCGGTGGGGTTTGTTGCTTCTCCAAGCCGAAGCCGGACTTGCTTTTGCATCGCAAGATCCCCATGAAAAAAACTGGCCTCTGAGAGGCAACAGCCTCGAACAGCCTTCCCATCCAGAAACCCGACCCCAAAGCCCACATCTTCTGCCTGTCCTTCTGGGGTTCACAGGTGGCGGCCGACTCGGAAACACCCGAGGAAGGTGTGCCCTTGAGCTTGCTGCAGGAGGATGCACGACGAAGGGAGACTAGTTTGCTTGTGCTCTTAGCACGAAGGAGGTTTTTCGAGTTGAAGGTCACGCGCAGACACTGACTGCCGGTTGGATAAATGGAGACCGCATCCTCCAGGATGTGCCAGGTAACATGCAGGTCCGTAGGCAATGCAGGCCTTGCAAGTTTGGATCAGTCGACTTTAAGTGCGTCTTGGCGAACGACGACGCAAGTGGAGGGCCAGGAAATCATCCGTCTTTAGCCCGGTTCTCGGGCAAGGTCTTGTTGCTTCCATCCTACCAGTATCGGCTCTTGCCGACCTAGTGGCCTTTCAGCTTCATGCCCGGAGCTGTCATAGTTGTCACATAGAATACACAGCCAGATCCGTGGAAGTGAGACCCCAAAGGTCCACAGCCTTCAAGCCCTAGGCAGACCACAGCTACCTTGCCCGGACAAATTCCCCCCAAACTGAAGCCCTGAAGTTCCTTTTCTTCGGCCGCGAGGTCCTTCGGGGGCCCTTCGAGAAGCTTTGGGCGTGTGGCCGAAGCCTTGGCAACAGCGAAGCTTGCGGCCTTGGGATTTGCTCACACTTCTTGAGCTTACCGAAGCCCTCGAAATTGCAAGTATAAGTATACCGCCTGAGATGCACGCACAAACAGAGGCACAGACACGCAAACAGGCTCCATAAAACACGAGAAACGGTACCCCGAGGCACATTTCATGGAAGGGCGTGCAGGAGAGGAGCCAGCATGATGAGTGCGACAAGCCCTTTCGTGAAGCTCAGAATACTCTACCCCAACATGTTGACCGAACGTGCCGAGTCTTTGCCATACCAAGGCTCAGGGGTGTGAAGGATGCGCTCATGCTGCACGAGTGCATCTTTTTCCTGGCCCAATCCGAGACCATCAGGTTCAGGACTTCCGAGACTTCTTGGATAGTGAGGCGAGGGATGGTGGCGACCTTTAGGGTCGTACTTTGTCTAAGAAGTTTGACTCTGCTTCGGACGCGCACCACTGCCAGGACACTGCAATGTTTCATGCTGAACGGGGTCATTTTCCTCGGCAGGAGCGGTGGTTGACTTGCTGCTGGGCACGTTTCGGTTGGATGGGAGTGCTCGGAGGCTGTAGCCGCCTTCCTCACCCGAGCCTCATCTGCGAGAGAATCCCTACCAATACCAAAAACTGGACATGTGCTGCTTCGCGATACCGCTTTCGGATCACATATGAGTACGCTGCCATCGAGAGCCAGCAACGCAACCACTGGCTTGCATTCTGATCCGTTCATGCTGACAGCATCCTTCTCTTCAACTTCGCAATAGAGCCAGCCACGGCCCCGGCACAAAGGCGACCGGATGTACAGTTGGCAGGTAAGTGATGCTGCTGCGTTGATTCGGACTTTCGTAAACAAAGAGCCGAGCAGACCAGCCAAAAGCGGTAAATCGGTTCACATGTGGCTGCAGATGCTTTCCGAGGCACTGGGCATCCTGAGAAGACTTGTCCAGGACTCGCTGGGTGCAGCGGTCGTGTATTGCGACCGTGCAAGCCGGCAGTAAATTGTACAGCAACACAGACCTCAGCAGTGCGAAACAGCGCCGCAGGAAGAAGAAGTGTGGGCTACCGAGTTCATCGTCTGGAGCTTACTGAGCACACTGGCGCGCCCCAGCGGATATACTGTGCTAATCTGTGCTAGACACGGGCTGTTCAAGGCGACATCCTTCTCCTTTCTCTACAAGGATCCACGGCTCGTTCGTGTGTGTATGTGTTTTTGCCAGAATCGTGATGTTCGTCTGAAGTGTGTCCGGCATTCCTGCATCTGGACTTCTCAAGCACTCTCGACTTTGCAGCCGTGCTCTCGTTGCAGATTCTGTGGATCTATCCCATCTACTGCATCTCTTTCGTGCTCAACACGGTCATGTACCAAGAGGCTGGCAGCTCTTGGGCTTCATCCTTGAATGTTTTGACACATCCGCCACTCTGAACTACCTTGAACAACATGAGACGTAAGCCCTGATCCCACGCGCAAGAGTGAGAATTTCAAGCGCGCAGCAACACAAACAATGGCAATAGTCTTGCTTAAGTCGTTTGGGCAAGAAACAGCAGACTGAAGAGCAGGGGGGCAGCATGCCCACCAGTGTAGACGGGGAATGCCACAGACTGCAAGTTACGGTATCTACGAAGACAGCATGTTTGAGCCCTGCAGATAGCTGACAGCGCGCTTGCCTTCGCGCAGTGCACGCCGACCAAAGCCACGCCGCACCTAGGCTCGGGCCGCTCGGGTTTGGTTTAGGCCATGGGGTCTAGCGGGTCTAACTTCAGGGAGAGGTTAGAAACAGTTCAGGGTGCCACCGCGCGAGGTGGCGAGGTCGAAAGTAGGTTCAGGGCAACGCCTGAGTTTTGCGGAGTTTTGAACACACCAGTTTCGCATGTTGGATCTATGAGTCTGACAGCATAGCTTTGGAATGTTTGCCTCCTGCTTCGAGTTGTACACATAGCTACAGGGACTGGATACGAACAAGCGACCGAAGCTTTTTGCGATCTACTGTAGTTGCTACTTGAGTGTGTCGGCTAGCCTGCGCAACGCAGCTCATGTTCCGGTTGGGACGACATTCACACACTGCAGATCCATAATCATAATCCGGACGGTGCGCCCGAACATGTTGAATCCCGAACACCTCAAAGCATAGTATCGGAATCATTCAACGGACCCCGGGACCCCCATGGCTGGATCTTTCCGCTCCGCTCGTGGGAAGACACAGCTGCCACGAAGGGCATGAGACGTCAATGATGTTGTTGTCTTTCTAGGTAGAGGCAGAACACTTCCGAGAAGCCGTTCTTCTTGAAGCTGTGATTTGGAAGGGTTGGACAACTCTGTCGTGGACCCCTTTCGATTCGAACAGGAGGTTCAATTTGTGCATTGGGGTTACGTGAGCCATCCAGCCGTCAAAATCAAATCCAACGTTACGTTGGGGCGAGGCCTACTTGTAGCAAGCGGAAGGTTCAATCGCAAGGTAGATCCCTGGAAAGGTTGGCGATACACTCAATCCATGCCTGTCGCAAGCCCCCAAATCCATTGACGCTGCATGCAGAACGGCTGATTCAAGAGACCTGGCGAGTATTGGCCACAGCCCCAACTGCTTGGATACCTGCAGCTGCAGACTTACAGGGAGCACTCCGGATTGAAGGACACGCCTGCATCCTGATAACTAAAGCTGCAGGTGAATCTGGTCTACTTGCTGGAGATGTACCTGGTCACAGCCTCCTTTCTCGGGCTGTTGAGTGTCAAGATCTTGAAGAGTTCGCCAAGACATTGGGTCAGAGTCGTGTGGAGAGCTACCGGTACACCGCACAAGAGTCGCAGGCGGTATATGCTGCTGCACAGCGCTTCGTTGTAAAGGGCTGGAGGAACTGGCGTTTTGGGCCTTTCTACTCGCCGCTGCCACCTGCAGCCAAGACGGCCAAGCAACCTCAGAAACCCTGTTCTTGTGGTCAAGTATCGGTTGTGTAAACGGACCGAAAAGATTGACAGGAGAGGATCTAAGGATCGGAGCTGCAGCTGCGTCGTAAGCTCAAGCAAGCAGCAAGCCAGCTTCAACCCCAACGCCCATCGAAAGCCCCGCAGGGCGCTCAAACCTCGAGCCTGAGCCGACACTCCAGGGTGCAGAAGTCCCAAACAGAAAAGTCCAGCAGGGCCCTAGCAGATTTAGTTTCCGAGCCCGGTACTGCCTTGCAAGCAATGGGTCAGGGCGTCAGCCCGAGCCTCAGTGAGAAGGTGGGTCTTCGGAGGGACTGATAGTGCCGGATCTTGCTATGTTGCCTAAGGGGAGTTGGGCATGTAAAGAGCCGAGGCGCTGAGATAGAGCCCACCGGGCTCAAGGAGATACTGGGGAAAGGCACGGCGATGCTTCGGAGCTTGGGGCTTGGAATATCGTGGTACGTGTAATTCCGTGAAGATCGGGGAGGTTTCAAAGGTAACAACTCATGGTACCTGTAATTACGTGAAGATCGGGGAGGTTTCAAAGGTAACAACTCAGACCGACTGGTTCACACCAACTAGCAGCATGAAGGACAAGAGCAGCAGCTGTTGCCACTATTACTGGCCTGGCCTATCCCAAGTTAGGACGCGCGTCCTGAATAGTAAGTGTACAGATGACCTGTTAGTCGATGGCATGATAAGGATGGCCTTGTTGCAAAGCAGTCCAGCTGTCAGCCCTTGCCACCGATTTCCATTCCCAGACCCTCCCCACCAAGTTCACCACCTTTGAGGCCCATCATGCTCCCCACATCGCCTGGAAAGCGTGTTGTAACGCTTTCCATGCTCCCTGTAGGTTGAGGGCTGGGCGATCGGAAAACATAAGTTGGGTCAGTGTGCGGCATACCGAAAATCAAGCAGTACTAAGCACGATCCGCAGATCAGGTATGTGCTGGCGTTAAGGCTCGGCCTAAGAGACACTGATCATGCCCGGATCCTCGGTCAGCGCCTTTAACATCCCACAAGGAACGTCCCGAAGCTTCGAGGGCCTCCCTCTTGCAACGTGGAGGCACCAGCGCTGTGAGCTGGCAAGCCGAGCTGCGGGCCGAGCCTTGTGGGATCTTAAGCTGGGGCGGTTTAGGGTTTAGGGTTTGGTCCCCTTGAGTCCTTCGCGCAGAAATTCGCGCACCTTTTCTAGCATTGTTCTGAGGCTTCGGGCTGACTACCAACATTTGAACGCAAACTCCCTCCTGACGAGACATTAGCTCGGGGCTGCCTGCGAGAGCTGTGGACTTCGCTCCGTGTCGTAAATGAGTGCTTGCTTGGCTGCCGAATCGACTTGAGAGAGGAAGAGAGAGGAATAGAGGGAGGCAGGGAGGGAGGGAGGGTGAGACAGAGCGAGAGCGAGAGGGAGAGAGAACCTTATCCCTCTAGGGTCCAGTACAGTACTGATGGCTGTGTCATTGTTTCAGCCATGAAGCTGCATCAGGCCAGAGCCGAACTGCCTTGAAGTCTGAAGCCCGTTTCAGGTCCGAGGTTCCACAACTGTTCAGGGCTGTATTCTGTTTCTAACTGCTTCTCTGCCCCCAAACCTCAAGTAAGTTGCTCCTGCAGTGCCCCCGTGTGTTGAGATCGGCATGATGTTGCTTGTTGTATCTTGAGGCTGTCGGTTCTAGACGTGGTGTTTCCAATATGCCGATCAACATACTGGGCTCGCACACAAAAGGGGGGAACCTCCGTGAAGGCAAATATCCCTTAAACCAATGTCCCGTGCAAAATCCTGATATGACGACGACTTGTAAACATCAGGATGGGCTTGTAATGCCGGGGAAACAGCATTCCGGGACAAACTTCTAATCTGCGTGGTAGCCCTCATGAGACTTATCCCGGGATGCCGGGGGAAGGGATTTTGTTCGAGAGAGTGTACCTACATCCTGTATTTGTTATCCCAAAATGTATGGGCTTAGCAGGAGGATGTCCTACACTCGTTCCTCCCTCCCCTTATCCCGATAAAGACTATCAGGTGCCCGAGAGAAAGAGAGGGAGAGAGACAGCGAGCGCGAGAGCCCAGTGCCTGCCAGCGGAGGGGTAGCGACCGCTGTTCCTTCTGGCTATGTGGAAGAGGAGAGACTCCGCTCTACCAGCCTTGCGAGCACTTCGCTGGCCTTTGTGTGCTGAGGCAGGCGCCCTCTCCTCTGGAGTTGGATGCACATCACATCAAGGCCCGCTCTTAATGCGAGCCCCCCTGAGCATCCTATGCTCGGCAAGACCAACTGACAACCCGGAATATGCCAGATCCCGGACCCCACCACAGACTTGTAAGCCTCTCGTCAATTGCAAAGACAGCACGACCTGCAGGCCGGTGTGTGCACCCGAGGGACTGTCCTCATGTGCAGCGCTAGCCAATTATTCTGCAGACACCTTCTGGAGTTGCTGAGCATGCAGCGAGGACAACCCTCTCGTAGCCTCTTGAGACCTCTCCGACGTAAACCAAGAAACATGCGCATAGGGCTGAGGGCAAATAAGTAAATAAATAGATATACTGTCTATAATACATATATATATATATGTGCATATATGAATATATGAAAAGGCACATATTTATATATATATATATATATATACATACATACATGCGCTTGCGAAGCAAGCGGACACTACTTGTAGGGCGACATGGATGCTGCGAACCCGGGCCAGTCTTCACACACTGCAGCCATTCAGACGTGCTGAAACTCGCCTCATGCAGCTCTCAAGCCCGAGAGCATTGGTGTGGTCGGAACGCTCTCCTTGCAAATAATGAACACATGCAGATCTTCCCCCTATGGCCAGAAGAGCACCTTGCAGATGCAATCGGAAGAATGGGTTTGCAACTACACGGCTGAAAAGCAACAGTGATCAATGTCAAGAGCATAATTATTCAGAAAGCAGCGAAAACTCCCGAACCGTTGCAGGCATGGCGCTTTGCCACACGCGGGAACTGCTTCGTGGAGGTGTCCTGCGTAGTGGAGCATCATTGACCCACCTGCATCCACCAGCGTTCCGGCTCGTCCCACATCAACTCGACTTCTTGGAGAGTGGGGTTCCTAGCAAGTTCCCAGCGCTAAACCCAAAATCCCAGCCCTTCTGTCCAGGCGCCGGTGTCGCTGTGCGACAGACAGGGAAGCTTTAGTGCACAGCTGCACAGGCTGGGGTCAGAGTTGCGCCTTGCAGTTTGGGGGCCTTTTGGGGTTTAGAAAATTTAGGGTTCGCATGAAGGGTCGTAAGAGGACATAGGCAGAATTGGGTGTGGGTTGCCTCAGTACTCTCCGGTAGAGAAAGGGGGTACCTGAATCGGTCTGGCCAAGCAAGCCAAAGCACGCCAAGCCTTGTTGTATTTCTCGCAGATGCAGACATGTTGGTTGGAAAGGATTCATCAGCTTCATGTACGTAAAACATGAAGATCTCGGCCACACCTTTGTGCTTCAGCAGCATTGGCAAGGAGCTCCAGCTATGTGATCCTGCACATCCAGGGAAGCAGCGCAAGCGCCGCCCGAAGCCTCGGAGTGCTGTCGTCCACCAAATCCCGACCCCCTCAACCTGCCCGACAGCTGCAAATATGCAAAAAACTCGGTCCTTGGCTCTACACGCACCACTCCCCGAGCATCCCACCGTTGAAAGATCCCGTTGAGGACTAGAACTCAGGTCCCCGCCGTGGGAAGCACAGCGCTGCGGAGCTTCGCTGCTACTGCAGGCAGCGAAGCAGGGAGCTCCGTTGTCGACTCTCCGGTTTGCGCACGACTTTGGCCTGTCTGGGGTTGCACGCCCGGACATCGCAAAACTACTTCACGACATCGAAAGACGACTTCATGACCGTCCAGTCCCCCCTCGACATGGAAAAGCTTCGGGCGGACATGACATCGAAGAACCCAAATCTATCTCTCTTTGTCTGAGCAAGTTCGCCTCAGAAACCGGCACTTCAATTTCCCCAACGCCTGCAAACACCTCAAGTCCTGATCCCAAACCTCCGGCAAGGTGCTGTTTGTACCCCCAGAGGGCTAGCGTTGCCCGAAATCAAGTGGCATGAGATTCAGGCGGGAGTTCGGGGTTGGTGTAGAGTCGATAGCAGTGAGTTTCGTGTAGGCTTTTGCGGTTCGCCATTCCAGTTTCGAAAGCACAGGGTCTGCAGCTACGGGGGCTGCAGTCCTGCTTCCGGGAATGGTTCGTCCAAGCGTGGGAAACGCCTGGTGCAGCATGTTTGCGGCACGGTATGGTTCCACTCTTGGACTAGAGCTCCGTTGCCCGATGTGCTGTCAATGATCGCACGGGCAAGGCATGAGGTCTTAAGCTTCTGAAAGTCCAACCTGAAAGCCCAGAATGAATTGGTGGAAGGTTGTGAGACAGTCTCGCAAGCTTAGCGAACCCATCCAAGATCCAGGGCCCTAATCCCAACAACCCCAAGCTGAGCAAGTCCTCGGCACATGGATCACACTCGCTGTCGCCAGCCCTGGCCCGGCCTGCGATACGAGATCTTCGTTTGGTCACTTGGCAGGCATTCTTTGCCATCTTTCCGCAACCACCAGGATGATACAAACATCCACGTGCGGAAGCGTGTGCTGAGATTTTAGGGTTAGCTGTCTGGGCATCGATTTTTCGCAAATTTCTTTGCATGGCACTGCCGGGTTGTCACGCGGTCCGCGTGGAGAGGCTACTTAGAGGATCATGGCACTTAGTAAGTAAGGTTATAAAGTACCCTACTTGGGGCAATAAGTAATTATAACTATAGTTACCTTACTTATAACCTAGATACTAAGTCCCATGATCCTGCAAGTAGTGGTATGCCCATGCTCCGGGTTTTGCATGGACACAAGGGCGCTACAGGGCTTTAGAGCTACAGGACCAGAAGACACAGTTGTAGATGCAGGATTATCTGGCCGGACCAGGAAGATGTTCAGGGAGGGTGAAGTTTGTGGCGCATGACTGCTGATTCTTTTGTTGGTGCGAGCCCTCGTGACTGTCAAACTGACAGTACAGTATAGAGTCCAAACGGCCCAAACGGTCTCGGGCTGCTCCTGCCATGGCGCCACACTCCACCGGCAAATCCGACCTTCGAATGGCTGGGTTGTCTGTGGTTGCAGCGGCAGTGTGCCTTGGAGTGCAGGGCTGTGGCGGCAAGGTCTACCAGAGCCTCGAAGAAGCGCAGAACGAGACATGCGTAGACCTGGCAGACCCTGGCCAAGCGTGCCTCGACTACTGTTTGGAGTGCATTCGCGGCTACCATGACAGCCTTGCATGGTACGAGCAGAACGGCAAGGAGTTCAACGAACAGCTTGTGCAACGTTGCGGTAGTACCAAGGTCTGTCCTCCGCTTGGGTACATCCCGCCATGAGAAAGAGGGTTTATCCCGTACGCAAATTCACGAGTCGTCGTGTTTCACCTTGCAGAAGCAAGCCGCGGAGTGGAAACATATCACCTGATTGAGTACCGCAAGCTTTGGTTCGTCGACTTGCGGGTCCAAAACTTCAGATTTTCCAATACAAGGTTTTGGGGCTACGCGAACCCGGGGTTGAAGCCGTCCAAGCTCATTCTTCAGCTCTCCCCGTTCAACTTCCGGTACAGTAAGTGTCTATGCAGTGCCGGCCAAAAAAAATAACAAATGCGAGTAATCATCACATTAAAAAGATCCGCGAAACCTTGCCCAGACACGCAGCACCAAGAGATTCTGAATACGGCTTGACGCTCTTGTGAACCAAACCCGGAATCGTTCACGAGGCCAAGTAGCGCTCAGACTCTAATCGCCATCAAAGGCATGGACGTGGTGCAGAGAGTCTCTTTCGTGTGGGGCGACCCAGTTGAGAATCAAGCTTTCGGGCCTTCCATGGCATCCCTGATGCTGAGCAGAATAAGTCAGTTGGCAGCTGTAGCAGCTGCCACTCGCTTCAACCTGATGTGGGTCGTCCCACTGCAGTCCTTTTCCGTCGGTGTGGGATAACTGCATTCTCTGAGAGCATGAATCGCTGCCAAAGCCGCCGCAAGAAAGATACCAGGCCAATGTGCTGAGAAAGGCCTACGAGCTGGACAGCTCGAGTCTGAGTTCAGACTGACGATGTGCAGCAAGCCCAAGGCTTGACTTGGCTTGTCGGTTTCAGAGGGCCTTCGCACACGTGCCCCTTCCCACTGGCTGAGCCTGCGTGAGTCCAGTGGAGATGAAGCTTGAAAGACAAGAGTCCCTGATCCGAACGTCCATTCAGTATCGCCTTGCTCAGGCCTGTTGAGAAAATCGCTTCCCACACAGCACGAGTTTGTGGAGTCGATCAGGCGCCCAGTCGTTGTGAAATGAGGAATCAGGAAGAACGATGTTAAGAGACTTTTTGTTTTTGGCCCAATCAGGCATAAGTTCTTTCAGAGTCGGAGTGCATTTGCCAGGTCCTAAGGTACAGATGCAGTTGTTGTTGTCTTGCTCTAAGACACTCATGACTCTACAGCCGCCAACTCGATCACGGCAGCACTTCAGATCATAGAGTCGCCAATGGCTCGACCTGTCGCATTCACGGCAGGGCTTGCAGTTCGAAGCGTGTCATTCGTATCGCAGAGCCGCAGGGAGCGGAATCATGACGCTTGTGAGGGTCCTTGAGCCACGTCAGAGCTGAGTATTCATCCTCAGCTATTTTGATAGGAGGACATCCTCCACTGGGTTGCTACGTAGAGGCCCTTCACTCTCTCTGCCAGGCGGGCAGCTCCCATGAAGGAGCGGGCTTTGTCGCTCAGAGGCTGCCAGGCAGATGGAGTTCTATAGTGCTGCAGGGTCTTAAAATCTAGAATGGGCTTTGGCTATATGGTGCATTCCGAAATATTCGGGGGCCTTATATGGTGTGGATTGGGGTGGTGTTTGAGGATTTCAGGCCTGTGACTTGCCGGACGAGAGGCTCCCTGGGTCCCCAGCACCTAGTGGTAAAGTTGGACTTTTTTCGCAAGAGTAGCAGCGTATATTTTCGGAAGTTGTCTTCGCAATTGGGAAGTTGTCGACACATAAGGTTCTTGCATAGTTGTCTATCCTAGTCAGCCACACGAACTACGCCCTGGTTGGTTGCCCAGGTTTCTGGATCGTTAATCCTGAACACATGAAGACTTCTGATGACTGCAAGACTGGAACCGACCCCACCCGGCATTGACTTCATTGCTCCAGGACATAGCGGCCGACGAGTCTGTGTCGACTGCAGAGGCATATTGGTGCCATAGGGTGCGATAGATGGGGTCACAGTTCATGTACCCGCACTAGTATACAGTGTTGTTCTGCAACGAGCTGGTGCCACAACGTTTTTTCCCCACTAAGTCCCTCTGCATCGAGACCCTCCGGCACCCAGAGCTCAAATTCACACACAAGAGGGGTCATCTCAGAGAGCTTCGCGGGCTCTTTGTGCAGTGCACAGGCAAAGATTGACATGTCCGGCTAATGAGCTCACGGTCATGAAAGGACTATCACCAAAAAGTGGATGCAAGAATGACAGCAGCAGTTGCCTTTTGCTGGCTTCCGTCCCGCCGGTCACACCCCAGGCAGCCACCGTCAACGGCCTGCTGGCGAATCTCGCTGTTCCAGACTTAGTTGCACCAGCAACAGCAAAGTGCCTGAAGTGGATTCTCGTCAGCTTTTGGTGCAAAGTGGCCAAGCCTTCCCGTGCAGACGATTCCATCCGACCCCCGAACTCAAGCAACAGGGCACAAGGCCCTGAAGCCCTCTCTACTTGGAATATTCCATCGGTGCTTCTCGAACTAAAAGACCTCAGGCAAGCCCGGAAAGACGTATCGGGACCTGGCAGTGGCCGCGCCTGGGGCGCGCGATCCGAAAAGACTTCGGGACCGTCCCGGTGCCCTTCTTAGGGTTTAGGGGCGTACACTGTAGCAGTCAGACTTCGTGGTATGGGTCACAAGAGCCATTGCAGTCTCAAGTGGGACAGGTCACTGCAGAATCTTAGCCAGAAACAAACAGCTGGTTCGAAGGGACGACGAGTTGTTGGGGCAAGCGGCTTCAAGGAGCTCAAAGTCCAAGATCTGATCATGTAATGATCTGATTGCAGTCAAAAGCAGTCCTGCTGGCGATGGAAGAGGTTCGTCACTTCGACTGGAAGGGTAAACAAAGGAGCCAAAGTCAAAGCCGATGGAGGGGGATGGAGGGGAAGAGTGGCGTTTCCAAAGGCTCGGCTCGATAAAAGATGGGTTGCTCCAAAACGGCTACCAAGAAGTGAGGGAGTGCTCTCAGGCCCGGAATCGGTCCCTCTCGCCTTTGCCCCGCATGCGTTATCGGGGCTCCGGTGCAGAGTTCACGCTCCGGTTTCCTTAATTCGAGAGGAGAGGGACGTGCCACCCCAACCTCCATAGGCGGGGGCCCCCCGCCCCCCAAAGCCGGGCGGCTGGGTTGGATTGGACGCTTGGCAAGACAGCCCACATCACAGGAGCAAAAACTCTTCCCTGGATGATCCCTCGCCGAAGTACTTAGCTAAGGGACTTCCTCAGAGATGAGGCCAGCGGAGAGGGCAAACATACGGCTGCAGGATGGCGCAACCGTCACAGGCCAATGGCTGCAGCGAGAAGGCGCATCTTGTCTTTGGCTGCGTTCGACATGTCTTTCCTACAGCTGCCAGAGTTCCAGGAGGAGTTGAGGAAGCTAGAAGTTGCCAGTTGCTTCTTCCCTCAACTCGGCCCTGTTGAGGTGGAAGTGCCTCCGCCTGCCAGCCTTCCGAGCAAGGCGAAGCCAGGCCGCGTGTTTAACTCTTTAGTTCGAGAGCACACCTATGAGAATGATAGCATCTGATAGCAGCTACAGTACAGTAAGGGCAATGCATGCAACCATCGAGGCTCAAGTTTGAGTCCAGGAATCAGTGCACAGCTTTCTTGATGCTGGAAGATGTTTGGGAAGCTTGGGGATGCATTGTTCGCGAAATCTGCAGGGGCTTTCACATGCAATCTGAAATCATCTTTTTGGGTAGGGAACAGCTTCAGCATAGATCTGTTCTCAATCCTTGCCGCTTCCACTCTCGTTCCCTCCGCCCTAGTCCTAAGCCTGCCTTCCCGCCTTCCTCAGACCCAGAAACCTTTGTCTAGCATTTCCGCGAATCGTCACAGGCGTGCCACCACTGGCATTGGGCGCCTCTTTGGCAGGTTCGGCTCAATGGGCTTGTTCCTAGACATGCGCAAGTAGATGTTATCTGCAGGTGTGTATACATGATATTTATGTACATGTACAATGAGATATAACAGCACGCACTCCACACACAGAGACACACACACACCAGGTGTGTTGTAGTGGCATCCATTCCTGCACTCGTATACGCTTGCATAAACGCGCACGTACACATGCCTCTACATGCATATCCATGCACACTTGCATGTATGCATACATATACACTCAGGCTCAAGCACCCATGCACCTGCATGCATGTATGCATGCATGAGGACATACGGTTCTGCAAGCGACGAGGCCCTGCAGGCCTCCAAAGTGAGGTTCACTTTCAAGTCCTCAGTCTATATCCTCAAATTCTACAACTAAGTGTATGTATATAGGTTTACATAAACATGTATGTAGATATGATATATATATATATATATATATGTACATATACATATACATATACATATACATAAACATATACATGCATGTGTGCATGTGTGTGTAATATGTATGTACATATGCCACTATGTACATATACACGTATGTGTGCATGTACGGATGTATGATGATGTATGTATGTTTGCATGCATGTGTGTATTTACGGTGCACGTATGTATGTAACGCAGTAGCTGTAGCAGCGCGACCTCTCGCAACTTTACTTGGTTAGGAGTGTATGTATGTATGCATGTGTGGACGTGCGTATGCAGGTATGTGAGTATGTATGTATGCATGTACATATCTCTGTGTGTGTACGTGTTCATGCATGCGTGCATGCATGTATGTGATATAAAGACTGCTGTACTTATTGGTATTACATTCATCTTTCGACAGGCAATGTGTTGGTGGTTTCATGCAGGCCAGGCGACATAGCACAATATATGTGCCTTTGTCAAAACGAGGTTTCAGGTGACCTGCTTCTTTGTGCACGTCAGTCTATACATCCACTGAAGAAGTTTTGTGTCTAGACGGGGAGACTGGCCAGGTGGACCCCAAAGCTCTCTCGGCGGGGCAGTGCAAAGTACCACCCCGGCATCGACAGCCACGTCGACATCAGCACCCACTGCGTCGATGGCCGCGACGATGGCTCCGATCACGCAGCCGGTGCCAAGCCAGCCAGGCCTGGAACATAGGGCGAACATCCGCTCGACATTATTCCGTACGTTCCACTGTGAGGCTCCTTGCATTTGCACAAGCCAGAGAAATTAAAAGGGGCATACAGGAGAGGCAGGAAGATGGAGAAAGAGAGGCAGGCCTGTCTGCATACCTACTACATGCATCCGTACAGGCCTACATCTGTTTATCTACATAACCTGCGTGGCACGAGGCCGCCCGGTGGTGCCCCCACTGGCACTGGGAGCGCTGCAGCCCGTGGCGGCCAGGCCAGCTGCGCACTTCCTCCCCAGAAGTCTGCTTCAATAAGCTTCCCCATTAGTAACATGCAGCTCACTTGCAATGCGCCGGAAACTGGCCATAAAACAGGCCAAACCTTGAAAATAGCCGAACACCCGAAAGACGTCAAGAAGGCCGAGCAGTGGACGGCCGTCCCCAACTGCCACCACCGCGACGACAGTGAGCAGCACGGGCCCATGGGGAATGTACTTCTTGGGGTTTGGAGTTCAGGGGGTCTAAGTATCTTCTTGCAGTCTCTATTTGGTCGGCCGGGGCCGGGGAAGGCAGGGCAGTCAGTCTGTGCGTTTGTCTGAAATGTAAGCATGTTCTGTAGACGAAGCATATACACGCTTCACGCAGATATCTATACAATACATAGATTGACAAGTGGATAGATGAGGTCTACACATGTTCGGCATACTCACGATTACTCACACATATACACATACGTCTAAACCCAGATGGTTCACTGTACAGCCGCTGGTCGGGCAGCTGTGAGGCTCTGACTCCTCCGAGGGAATGGAGGCTCGGGGTCTACAGGTTTCGGGCTCGTCCCAAGTCTGTTCGTTCATCTGTGTCACGAATCAGCCCGAGGCAAGTGTCGAACAGTTTGCATGTTGGTCTTCTACAACATCATCCTTGGCAGTCTTGTTTCGTGAGACCGGTTCAAAGATGCATGCTTCAAAAACTTGTGCGATTGCCGCAGGTGGATGATGCCAGCAGCAGCAGCCGCAAGCGCCAACGAGGGTCCAACAAGTAGTGATGCTTCTCTGTGATTGTTGCAGCCGAAGAGTCACTCGACCTGACGGAAGTCCCACCAGCAGCGATTCAAGAGCCGGGCTTGAAGTGCTACACATCAAGGTAGCATGATTGGGACATGCATCGTGCTCCACTAATCGTGTCCACGATTTGCAATATCGTTTTCAGGTGGCAAAGAGCGCTGCAAGTGAAACTCATGCCATGCACCCGACATGCTAGCCGCTTCACCAAATCTCAGGTGGGCACTTGCCCACCTGAACTTCTGTCGCTCCTCAATGCATCATTGCTCCTAAAAGAAACTAGGGTTGGAAGTCGCAAGGCGACTTCTTTCCTTGTGCTTCCGTGGCACTGAACAAAACATGCTGCAGGGGCGCGGATGACGATTCATCGCCCCAGCGCACGTCGCAGAGCGTCCCGGGTCCCAGATCTGGCAAGCATGTAGACCGTTGACATTGGCATTTGGGAATTGACGAAGGTTTCGAGTCCATCACAGTGAACATTCGAATCACAATGAGCCTGGCAGTCATCATGGCTCGAGCTATAGAGGTCATCACACTGGTATGGTAGTAGTAAGCATACTGCAGAAAAAACCCTTCTTTCCAATAGATGTTTCATGGTAAAGTAGTAGAAATGCGCCCCTCGGAGGCTCGCGGCAATCCGCCAGGGCCAGGGGCCATCACTTTCCCGACGGTCGCAGCTGTCAGACTCTCAAAGCTGCAGCGCTCCTTCACTCCTCTTACTGTCTCTTTAAAGTCTCGAGTAAGGGGAAAAATGGGGGGGGCCTTGAGGGTTCCATAGTAGCCTCCGGGTCTCAACATCGCAAAAATCGGAAGTCCGGAGTAACAGGGCTAACCATAGCACCCCAATCCAAGAAGCAGTTGTCAAGGGCTACCTTTGCCAGCATCGTGCAGAGTCTCTGATCCCAGCGTTCTGAAATTTTCCTGGCCGCAAACAACAAGAATAATTTGTTCGTCCTGAATATCAATGAACGCGGTTATGCTCCACCACACCGCACCCACTGCCAAATTCCTAGATGCACTTGGCAGGAATCATGGTTAATTTTCCTTAGTATGGCGAGATACCCACTTGCCCAGCCACGGATTCCGAAAAGTCGCACCACTTTGAAACATTGAGGTGCCTGTGCGTTCCGCACGCACCGAGGGTGTTCCGTCCTTGTCACTCCCGGGGCGCTCAGGCCATGAGGGCCGTTGTTTTTGGAACTTAGGGTTTAGATAGGGTTTGGGATGAGGATGAGGGGAGGGGTCGATTACGAATGAATGGGGAAAGGTTTACAGGCTCACCATCACGGTACAACCAAGCTAGGCTTCGAAAGGCCCGCGAAATCCGACATTTCTCGCAACCTGAGCTTTCGAGGAAACGAGAATTGAAATCTGCTGCGGGCAGCCCTCGCCCTAACTCCAAAGCCTGGCGTCTCAAAGACCTCAGTTCGTCTAGATCTGAAACCGAAGCCCGAAGTCCCGAGAAAGCTGGAGCCGAAACTCCAGCCCCAAACAACAGTGTCCTCATAGCCCGAACTCTCGAAACCTCGCAGCAAGGTTTAGGGTTACTCACAAATCCAAAAGCAATCTCCCAGCACACGAAGCTGAAACTCCAGGCGCTCCGCCGGCGTCCCAAGAGGCTTCCGGAGCTCCACGGGTCCCGGCCCTGGGGCTGGCAAAGGCCCAAGAGCATCAAACCTTCGGCTTCGGTTTAGGAGTGTTGGCCCTTTATCGTTTAGGGTTTAGGGCAGTTCAGGGTTTAGGAGTTTAGGGGAGGGTTCGACGGATGGGAGTTTATGGGCCTGGGTTTGGGTGTACACTCTCATCCTGGCGGCGAGGTGCTTCGGGAGGCTGGATGCTTGAAACTTCCGCGGAGGATCTGAGCTGAAAAGCCAGTCCTGAGTAACGTGGGATTGCTGCCAGTCCCCTTTCAGTTGGTTTCGCAGAGCCTCTGGGCTCTCATTTATGGAAACAGTTAAGATCAGCATGACGCCTTCATGGCACAGGCGGGAGATCACCCTCCGCCGATCCAGCTTGGACAGGCTGCCACTTGCAACCGTTTGAGGGAGCCCGGGCGAGAGGGGGGAGAGAAGTCGCCGTTCAAATACTGCACCTTGATCAGCGGAAGACGGGGCTGGGGTACATTATGTATCATTTCTTTTGTGTGTATACATAAAACGTATATAGCAGAAGGAACCCTTCGGAATGGCATTACTTCTGGGGCACTCACTGCTTGAGATGAAGTGGGCAGAGAAGAGCTACTCCCCTCGCAGACTCTGCACTGGTCTCAGATCTGTGAGACTTACTTCATAAACCACCGGCTGCGGCTTCAGTTGCAATCCTTCTATATAAAACTCTAAACCCCTTCATTCTGAAATCCCACCAAAATCATGGGCAGGCTGCGGATCGTCCGTCAAATGCCGTCCGCCAGGCCTGTCGCTGTTTCCTCATGCCTTGTTCCGTATCGGATTTCCTCAAAGGTCTACTCTGCGAGATTCAGGGCCTGGGCTTAAAGCAAGTTGGAAACTTGACCTTTTAACCTGCCTTGCCTGTGTCAGGCTCCCAGAGGCCCGATTCTCAACCTCGAGGACATCCACACTCCCGAGGAAGAGCTCATCAGTTCGGATCTCAGTCTTCCCCTGCAGCTTGCCATTGCTCAGCGGTTCCTGCAGTTCCCTTCGAAATGCCATGCCAGAGTGCTGGAAATTGCTTGCTGACTTCTGTGCGCTGAGATACATACGACCCGGACAACGAGGAGAACAACTACCACCTGTCCAGCACTTACGCCTTCCCGAAACCGAGAAGAGTTACGGCAGGATGCCAGGCACCTGCATCTTCAAGAGCCGAGTAACTGAACAGGTCCTCGAAGCAGCCAGACATGTAGACGCGGGCAGATTTGTAAAGGATCGCTGTCTTGCCCAGCCCGTCACATAGCTTGCTAGAAAACGTTACAGAAGTGATAATCTGGACAGCTTTGCATGTCGGTCCCGAAACAAGAGGTGCCTCAGAATTTTTCAGGGAAGCTGGAAGTTCGAGGCCTGACCACCTTCAGCGACGACTTCAGCTGAAGCATTTCCGCCAGGCGCATCAGAAGCTTGTTTCTCACTTCCACGGGTCGACTCAATCCCTGGATAGCAAATCTCATATCCGCGAAGCTTCATGCATACCTCGCCAAGATTTGTGGTTTGACTGCCGCAGGTCTGCTCCGAAGTGATACCAAATTCGCTGTACATCTCCAGCTATCAGGCAGTGGCTGCTACACTGCATCACACTAGTCGGTGCCGCAAGTCTACATGCCTAATGCCACACCAGGGTATCTCTTGCGAGGTGGCTTTGGATTCGAAAAAGCAAAAAAGAAACTGAATAATGGTGAAGGAGTATCATAATATTATAGACAATGCCGTGCTTTCATGGTCAGTGCTGCCAGTTTGCACCCAGCATGATCCTTGCGCATTGCACAGGTGGCATGTGACGAGGAAGCACTTCACATGTGCGGCATAACTCACATTGTCAACACGGCGGCCGACATATGCGCTGGTCTGAGTCAGCACTTGTGCTTCGCTTCGAGTACAACAGTAAGCAAGGTGTCGCATGGAAGCAGTAGACTCAGTAGACTGCTTCTGACTGCGTGGCTTTGAGGTGACAGCTGCTTCCCCGGCAAGTTTCAATATATCACCTATTACCTCAAGGACAAGAGTTGATATGCACTGTTCGATTTGTCCTGCTTCGGGTCAAGCGGCTTGGCATCCCTGGACAAAGACTTGAATGTCCTTGCACTGGTCCGGCGTTCTCCTTCCATTCATGAATTTCGACAAGCATGCTTTTTCGACCAATCCGCCCACATGCATCTTGACAGTTTCTGCAGGATGCGAACAGTGAAGACATCTCGAGTCTGTTGTACAGAACGCTGGAGTGGATGTACGAGGCCCACATTTGAAGGTTCCGATGCTCATCAGTGCAAACGATTTGGGGGTTATCCGGCCGGACGTGACCCGAACTCTGAAAGTCGAGCTCTTCTGTGGATCTGCGAAACACCCGCCCAATGACTGCCAGGCCATTGGCAAAGGTGGACGTGTGTTGGTTCACTGCCGAGAGGGTGTCAGCAGGCAGCCGGATGGTTCACTGTACACATTCACTTTATTGTCACTGTCCATCGCAAGCTTGCATGATCAGAAACATGCATCTGACGGGACTCGGGACTGTGGCTTCAACGCGGCTGTACTGCTTTGCGCCACTGCTTTGCGCGCTTTTGCGACCTCAGCGACCAAATCCCGTAACTCTTAACCTGTTCACAGAAATGTACTGCACTGTGCGGGCACTAATCTTTGAAAACAAAATCCGGAAATGTTTCGAGTCCCCTGACTGAGCGAGCAAATTAGGTATGCAACATTACACGTTCGAGCAAGCAAGACCCGACATGGCTTTCAAAGAAATCAAACCTCGACCCAAGATCATGTGCCCCCAAAGTGTCATCTGGGAGTTTCCGAAAATTAGGGGTACCTTCTCTTGGGGTTTTTATAATAAGGATCCTACTATTTAGGGTAATGTATTAGGGTCCCCTATTTTCGGAAACTCCCATCTACCCCCAAGACCTTTACAATAAGATCGGCTTTGGAGGTCAGCGACCTTCGTCATTGCCTACCTCATGTGGTGGTTCTCGGCCCCAGCTCTTTCCATTCTCTCGAAGACTAGTTCATTTGGGTGGTTGTCAAAATTAGGGTTCCTTTTTGGGTGCCCTAAATATTTAGGTGCCGTATTAGAATGGGGACCCAAGAAGGGACCATAATTTTGACAACTACCCATATGGTGGACACAGCGAAAGACAGATGGGCGGGCTTGTAATCCAACTTCCGTACTGGATACTCAGTCCCTATGTCTATGTAAGAGAACATACAGAATACCATGAATACTACCTGCATACATGCATGTCGACAGACAGACAGACAGACAGACAGACAGACATACCTCTACATGTCTAGCGTTTGCATCTATGTGGTTTGGCGAAGCTCCGTTGCTGATTGTCTTTATTATTGCTTGATTCGCCCACGACGGTTCAACCGCAGAGGCCACGTAGTGCAAGTAGATGGTGTATCTGATAGGTCAAACGGGCTGGAATCATCATGGTGTGTTACAGGCCGTTGCTTCTCCAGCATATTAGCATGTTGTCTCCACTGTCACTATCATATCCAGGTGTCAGGTTTGTGGCCAGATATTGAGTTTGTCTACGGCCTGTAAGCAAGCTGCGTGAAGGAGCATCGTCAACTCGCCGCACGCAAACTCGAAGCCAAACTTCAGTTTCATGGGCACCATTTTTGCATTCGTCCGGTCTCTGCGTGGTTATCTAGAGCAGTCTTCTTGTTCTTGGTGCTAATGCCGCTCGTGTCTTGTACGGCTTTGCCATGCTTTGCGTGGAATATCGACCTTAAGAAGGGTTCACCACCTCTGGAGGTTCAACCTTTCCTTCGAAGCGGCTCATGAGCGGATCAGACAAGTGCGACCCATCTGCAACCCGAACACAGGCCAGGCACGGATGCACGGACGGCAGTGTGGAGAGATGGCTTTCAAGACTTCAAGAGCTGTGTTGGGCATGGAACTTGAAGAGCCCGGGTCTTCCCCTGAAGATAGCACCCAAGTTCGGACTCCTCTGCACTGAGATCCAAAAGACCGACAAATCGGCTCCCTTGCTGTGAGAACCAGCTAAAACTAACGCTGGAATGTCGAAGCCCGCGCTCAGAAAACTCTACCCAGCATCTTGGAGGCTTCACCTGTCAGTTGTTGCAGCTGGCGAAGCGGCTGTCCACCAGCCCCGGAGGGGTGCGCGAGGGTTTGATGGAGGATGTTGTACAGAGGAAGGGGATAAACAGTCTTCGTGTACTGGCTCTGTTGGCGCTCAGTTATGCTGCTTTCGTTCCACTCAACCTCGGTATTTTGTGGTGGCCTAGCCCCATGGAAAGCCCGTCACTCCACGTTTTATGCGTTGTCCTCTTGGCTGTGACATGCTGCAAATTATTCGCAGTCTAGAGACATGATCGAAAAGCCACAGTTCTGGTCATGGTCTTGTCCAGGATCTTCATCAGAGTTAATTCATACTAGGGCTACAATGAAGTGAAACCCAATGTGCAACAATTGCAGTGTGGCAGTAAAACTTCTGTGAACCTTCTTGTTAAGCAGAGCCAGTTTGCAGTCGTCTCTGTTTCTATGTCTCTATTTCCATGTCTACCTGCTAGTCATGGCCCTCTGTCACTCCCCATGCGAATCGAAAGCGCCATTCAGGTTTTCGAGCTTACAACTCATCTGCGGAAACCTCACAGCACTGAACCCACAGCTGCGCCTTATCCTGTCTGACAGGCTGCGCCCATCATGTCCGACAGGGCCTCCCTCTTCCGCATCGCGCCATACCATCCCAAGGACGCACACGGATGTGCTGCTTGGTGGTTCCATATTGCGCAGTGATGGCCCAAATACCAGGAGTCGCTGGCTGCAGGGCACGCACTGGGGTTTGGAGTGGACTTGGCCGCAGGTCTCAGCTGCAAAAAACCACAGCGGTGGCAGGAGCCCTTTCTGCTCCTCGTGCCAGCGGAGCGCCAGCCGGGACCAACAAAGTTTGATCCTCGCTTCGGCCGGAGCCTCGATGATCTCGTGATGATGCTCTGACGATGCAACACGATCATGATAGGGCCAGAAGTCAGGCTGATGATGACATGCAGTTATGCCCCAAGGTGCCCAAAGCCAAAGGGGCTGAAGCCCGAAGTCCCTTCCAAAACAAGAGGGTCTAACGTGCGAGTGGAACTATGTGCATCAACCCAATGCCCCAGAGTTCACCAGGCGTTTGAGGAATCTGCCATGAATTCTAGCCTTGGTGGTTAGTCAGTACATGTTCATTCTGTGGTCCAGTGTCTGCTGGGCATAGTGACCCTAAGCCCTGAGCCTCAGGGCATCGCATTGTGTTCGTCCGAGGTTGGGTGGCGCACGCTGGTCTTCAGTTCATTCTCTGGATGGGCGCCGAGGCGGGAGGATCAGGAGCTGAGACCGCAGAGCCGATAAAGGGGGGGTCTGGAAGCCAGGGGTATTGCACTTGGTTGAAAGAGTGCTTCTTATTGGGGTTTTTTTTTGGAGGGTTGCAGCTGGGGTTCTTAGAACTGGGGGTTACCGTGTTTAGTGGTCGTCATTTGCAGGATCCTACTATCAGGGTAGTTTCGGGTAGTTTTTCCCGAAAGCATCGCGAAGGGTTCTTCCGTGCGGAGCCCTCGAGAGAAGTACATAGATGACAGACATAGAATCGACTTACATGACTCGATACCTTACTCGACTCACTTACTTGACTCTATACCTTACTTGACTCTACACTTGATACTTGACTCTATGCTATCTCTGTTCAAGCTCATAGCACTTGAACTCTGTACTCACGTTTACTTACTTACTTACTTACTGAATTTGAACTCTATACTTACTTACTTGACTCTACTTACTTACTTGACTCTATGCTATCTCTATGCTATGAACTTGACTTTGACTCTATGCCTCTATGACTGACTCTCTATGCCTCTATGGCTTACTGTCTACATCTCGGTATCTAATCTCTCTTCTAAAGCCAGGGGTGGCACCGTCGTCATCCATCGGGAATGCAACCCTTCACAGGGATTGGCCACCTCGAGCGCCCAAACGCTAGGTAAAGTTACACATTTTAGGCGCGCGGCGCAACCCTTCACAGGGATTGGCCACCTCGAGCGCCCAAACGCTAGGTAAAGTTGCACATTTTAGGCGTCCCGTGCAACCCTTCACAGGGATTGGCCACCTCGAGCGCCCAAACGCTAGGTAAAGTTACACATTTTAGGCGCGCGGCGCAACCCTTCACAGGGATTGGCCACTTCGAGCGCCCAAACGCTAGGTAAAATTACACATTTTAGGCGTCCCGCGCAACCATTCACAGGGATTGGCCATTTCGAGCGCACAAACGCTAGGAAAAATTACACATTTTAGGCGTCCCGCGCAACCATTCACAGGGATTGGCCACCTCGAGCGCCCAAACGCTAGGTAAAGTTACACATTTTAGGCGTCCCGCGCAACCCTTCACACGGATTGGCCACCTCGAGCGCCCAAACGCTAGGTAAAGTTACACATTTAGGGTTCCCGCGCAACCATTCACAGGGATTCGCCTCCTCGGGCGTTCAAGCGCTAGGTAAAGTTACACATTTTAGGCGTCCCGCGCAACCGTTCACAGGGTTTGGGTGCATTGACGTGCATTTTGCAACCTTTCACAGGGATTGGCATTTTGCAACCTTTCACAGGGATTGGCATGGTCGAATGCACGAACGCAAGGTAAAGTTTCATTTTTTTATGCGCATTGAAATGAATTTTGCAACCCTTCACAGGGATTGGCGTGGTCGAATGCACGAACGCGAGGTAAAGTTGCATTTTTTTATGTGCATTGACATGAATTTTGCAACCCTTCAAAGGGATTGGCGTGGTCGAACGCAGCGAGGTAAAGTTGCATTTTGTTATGTGCATTGAGATGAATTTTGCAACCCTTCACAGGGACTGGCGTGGTCGAACGCACGAACGCGAGGTAAAGTTGCATTTTGTTATGTGCATTGAGATGAATTTTGCAACCCTTCACAGGGATTGGCGTGGTCGAACGCACGAACGCGAGGTAAAGTTGCATTTTTTTATGTGCATTGAGATGAATTTTGCAACCCTTCACAGGGATTGGCGTGGTCGAACGCACGAACGCGAGGTAAAGTTATTACTTTTGATGTGCATTGAGGTGAAACTTGCAACCCTTCACAGAGATTGGCGTTGTCGAGTGTTCGAACTAGTACTAGTCCTACTACTACTGCTACTACTACGACTACTACAAAAGAATACTACTACTACTACTACTACGACGACAACAACTACCACTATTACTACCACTGCTACTGCTACTGCTACTACTGCTACTACTACTACTAGTATACCACAACAACAACTACAACAACAACTACTACTACTACTACGACTACGACTGCGACTACGACCACGACTACTACTACAACTACTACGACTACCACTACTATCACTACTACTAGTACTGGTACTGCTAGTACTACTACTACTACTACTACTACTACTACTACTACTATTACTGCTGCTGCGACATAAAGTGACCATGCATAGAGTCATAGAGTCACGTTGAAACCACAGTAATCAGGGATGTCTATATAGTGAGGTTCCGGAGCTAGGAAAGGAAGACTTCTGCGTCATGTTGGACTGTACCCTAAACCCGCTAAACCTGAACATTAGTGTTCCTAGACTGAACTACATCGAGTCAAGTGCGTGGTACATAGATGACTCCATGACTCTATGACTCTTTCTCACTCTGACGCTATGACTCTATAACACTGTGACTCTATGATTCTGTCTCACTGTGACTCTATGACTCTATATGACTCTATGACTCTTTGAACTATGACTTGTGCTTGACATGTACTCGACTCTATTTCTCGATGACTCTATGAACTATGACTTGTACGACTCTTGACTGTATGTGACACTCCGACTCTGTGACTCCGTGCTTTTGACTCGGTGACTCTATGACCCTATACACTGGATTCTATGACGTAGCGCAACACTCTTCGCTGATGATGCTTTCGGGCCAATTGTCTTCTAGTTCAAGTTACCGCTCTGCGGCAAGCATACATCACACCACGTCGTACCATAAGTGGCTCTGACTGCTATGGTGGTAAAAGTGGTCACAGAAGTAACAGTAATCACAACAGTACATAGAGCAGTGTCATCAGCTGCGGATATCTTCCCTTGGCTATACAAGCTCAGCCTATGCCGCTGAAATGTACCAATCCCCCTTACCACCGATCCAGGTCCACGATCCCCAGCTCGTCAGGCAAACCGTGGAGGCCGGCACGATTTCGTGTGTTTCGGATCTCCTCCTCAGGTATCTACTCCAGGGGGGTTCCGTGCTTGGGTGTCTGGTACGGCTCTCGGTTGTTGAGCATCGCGGCAGGCCCACAAGCGCCGCGTGGAATTCTTTGAGAAGTGCCAGTGCAGGGCTCAGCGCCTGCAAAGGCAGGCCGAGCAAGCAAGATGGCAGCTGCGAGGCAGGCAGGCATCACCACCAACTCCTCGCTTTGTTTAAAAGTGAGCTCACACAGAGAACGGCTTAGCGGCAGAATGCAGCAGATGCCTGAGCCTAATCCATGCAAACCTCGTGCTAACGAAGAACGGGACTGTAGGAAGAAGGCCATATTTCGAAGACTCTGAACTCAGGTGCAGTCTTCTTGTCATGCAACAGGGCGAGGACGTCACGCACCCGGCTTCTTGAAGTGCATGCGATTCTGAGTCTTCCTCTCATACAGTAGCTCTTAGAGCTCTGAGGCTTGGAGTGCACGCACCCAACCCAAGCCCGCTGCCAGCCTCAAGCGCTCTCTGATCAGGCCCAGCAGCTGTGGCAGCTACTCGGCGAGACTCCGCCGAGCCGGTCAGAAGTCGCGACACATCGGCCAGGGCCCAGGGTAGTGTCTCCACAGATGGCGACGACGGACAGCTGCTGCGGTAGCTGCTCCTTCCTCACCGCCACCACTAGCGCCAGCGAGGGTGCCTGCACTTGTACGGGCTCAATAGAATTGGAACATCTGCTTCTCGCACCTTCGACCCCTTAAGTCTTGAAGTTTTCAGCCCCCAGCCCAGACCTCTGACCTCTGGCAGCTCGTGCCAAGGCCCGAGTTCGATGCGGACCATGAGATCATGGCCTTCCACTCAGACGTTCGGAGCCTGCAGACTTCAGGGTGGGAAAGCCTCAGGAAGTGGTGGAAACCGCATCGATGCCTTAGCATTTACAATGTTGATAAAGCCATTCGTAGGTCCTGCAGGGGCAGGTCTTGGAATGCACGTTCCCTGTTAATTGTGAAAGGACACAGGTTCCGGGGATCGTACCTGAGTGCCGGCCACGCATGCTCCTGATCGAAACGTCGAAGGCTTCTGCGGGTCCATGAACAGCCAAGCTCGAGTAGCCGAATTCACATTTTTCCAGGCCCGCTTCGATGTCATTCGGTTTATACAGGTCCTGTGCCGAAGGTGAGAAGGCAGTGACGCTGAAGCGTCCCCCATGGGCGTGTGCGGGATGCCGCAGCGGTGTGTCGTCGGGTAACAGATAAGATAGTAGCTGTATTTTACCGTCTTCAAGCAAGTTGGACAAACGCGGAGCCTAAGCCAAAATTCAATGCGAAAATGTGCATCCTGAAGCTAAGGTGAGCACGCATGGAAGGGGTGGAGCTGCAGGATAGGCGTGCTGCGTGAGCATAACACCGAGAGTTCGGCGGTGCTACTTGGAGCTTGGCCTTGCGATGCCTTTCGGCTTCGGTTGTGACATGTTGTCACATTGTCATGTACCTGATTTAGGGATCACGGTTTGGTTAATTCAACCACGAGCAACACAAACTCCGTAGCCCCAGCTTTGAGATTCTTTTGGGACTCGCCGCCTGACTCAGTACGCGCGGCTGAAAGGTACCGTATTTTGGCAAGCTTGGTATGACACTCTTGCAGCATGCTGCTATCCGAGCGGTTCAGACTGGCAAACCTCTTACCTTTGGTTAGTACGGAATGGAGGAATGGGGTACAATTTTAACTACTATTGCTACCATTCTTCCATTCCCTACTAACCGAAGGTAAGTCCTTTAAAACTGCTTGGCCGCTGGAGGGTTTTGCTGCCGCTCCCTGCAGTCACCTTGGAAGGAGCTGGCTTTCCATCCGCCGCTGCAGCCCCCGACAGCACTGTCCAGCGAGAGGCACCAAAGTGAGTGGAGTTTTGTTAGGTTTGGGGATCCGGCTTCGTAACATCAAAGCTCTGCACTGTTCTTGCGGCGCAGGGGGCGACAGCTAGGCTGTCCGTATAACACAGAGGAGGAAGACACCCAGTGGTACAAGCTTTAGAAGTGCTGCATTCTGCTGCAACCCGAACTGTTACGTATCCAGGGTTAGAGGGCGTGTAGGTAGATTTCGAGCCCTCAACCCTGTTTCAGCTCATGGCTACGTCTTGCCCGGACGACCTGCCTCAGGACGTTCGGTCTGCCAATCCTGCCTGGGAAGCGTGCAGATCCCAGAACTGACTGTTGTTTATTTAGGTTTCTTCAGGTTTGCCTGGATCTCTTGGATGGGACCAGGGATGGGATTTCGGCAGGTCCGGTGCCGGACGTCCTCCACCGATTCTGGCCGTCGGTAGAGAGCTCCATGTATCATAGCATCGGTGAGCTCACAGTTGGGGCGGAGAATCGAAGGGAAGGTACAAAACCGCGAAGACAGAAGACGCTTGAAGGAGTGTGGCCTGTGCTTTTGAAGAAATACGAATACCTCCCTTTGAGAAGACTCGCTTTGAGAAAAGTAACGTTTCACATCGCAAAGCCGCAGAAGCAGAAGTCGAAACCGTGGATTGGTGTGGGAGCTCGGGTCCACACCCTGTAGGTGAGCGGCGTCCGCTGTCGTTTTAGGCACATTCGAGAGGCTGGCTCCTCTGTATCATAGTGCTGGCACAGCTGAATACATGTTGGATTGAAAGTTAACAGCTGAAGGCTCTGTTGTTAATTGCAGCTGTGTGCCACAGAACCGGAAACTTGTAGGGCAATGAGCAGAGTGTTTGTTTGATGCAGTCGTTGCATAGCAGCGTACAAACCTGATACACCCCTCTCAGTCAGACCTTCTACGCTTGTTCGCAAGCTTCCGAACTCTCTGCTCAAAGCAAGTTCCCGACCGACACGATTTTTCAACTGCTTGCCCTTGGTGGGTGATGCAGTTAGACAACGAAACGAACGCCGCTCGGCGGCACCGGAAGAGGACGCTGAACGTTCTTGAAGGTCAATGGGACGTGAGATGACGCGATGCAGTGAGCTTCGTTTTTCGTTTCAATCTTGCAATGGCAGGGTTACCGGTTTCGTCGGCGGAAGATCGAGACAATGCCAATGTTAAAAGTCAGTCTGTCCAGGCTTTGTGTGCTAAGCCCCTCAAAAGGTGTCATATCTGCAGGTCTCGCCAGGCATCCGTGCAGTAGAGGCACTCACCCCCGAAGCTCGTAGGCTCCATCCACGACATTCCGTTCCGAAACCACTGACCGCAAATGAGGCTAGGAAAGTAGATCACCAGTGTTCGGCAACAGGAACTGGGGAGCCACGGCTCAAACTACAATGCCTTTCAGTTGCATCCGTGAGTAAAATCAAAAGGGTCTCGAGCCTGATCGGCCCCCGAGACTTTCGAGCCGTGGACGTGAATCTCAATTGACCCCCATGTGAGTACGGGTGTTCCGAAGTAGAGTGTCCCGCTTCAAGGATCCAGAGCTTGGGGCTGGTGTACATTTCGCCCATCCGGAAAAGCCTGAGACTGTCCCATCCGCAGCTCTACTACCTGCCATTCGTGGGCCCCGCGCTGTACTTCGTGCACTCCTGTTGGATGGCCTCCATCTACTGCTTCGAGCCGTAGCCTCGGGCCTTCCAGGCTTGGTAGGCAGCAGTATTCAAGAAGGCTCAGCAGGAATGAACTATATCTATCACTTCCGAGAAAAGAGCATGAGGTACAGGTGGGTCCATCAGCGGTGGACGGCAAACGCGCGTGTGGACTACTTCGAGGTTCGAATTGCGAGCAGCTCCATCGGATTTGGCCGTCAGAGTAGAGGAGTTCGAATTTTCGAACAGTTTGTGAGATCAAGCTGGTGGCGCGTCTGACGGTAGCATGCGGACACGTTTGTTTTCCTTTTTTGTCGTTGGCAGTGAGAGTTTGGTGACATGTGTTGTTGCTTCTTGTGCTGGTGTTCTTCTTGGTCTTGTTGTTGCGGTTTACGGTCGTCGTCATGGCGGGGTGAAGATCTTCAATGACCTGCAAGTTTTCGAAGTCGTGCCGCTTCGCAGCATTCCCTTGCATCTCCAAGCATACGGTCTTTCACCGGCCTCAGTTGTGTTGTTGTGCTATGGCTTCGCACAAGCCCATGTGCCCAGCCAAGCTACTTGTCAAATCTTGGGACCAAGCTCGAGACACGGAACTTGAAGCCACATCCTCCCGCCCGAAAACTGTGAGCTTCTGAACCTCGAAAAGCCAAAAGAGAGCGCTCCTTCCACTCGTTTGCTTTGCCAGCGCCACTGGCTCTACTTCTTTGGCTTCGGTTTCCCGGTCTCCTTCCTCTCCGTCCTTTGCCCGGGCCTTGGGGGCCGACCAGAAGCCCCTGCCAGGCCTAGGCATCCTTTCATTCCAGACTGCAAGGATTTTGGGATAAGCATTCTTAGAAAGACTCCCGTCTTAAGGGCTCCGATGGAAGCTTTCAGAAGTGACATTCATCTTACATCTACTCCCGTCCTAACTTGCGTTCGACTTCTGGTGTTGCGATGGGTTGCTGCCTCGGGCTGTAAGGCCTGAGTGCAAGGGTTTTCTGCGACAAGACAGCGAAACGCTTGAGGTTCCTAGGTTGGAAACGGAGCGATCAGGTTACGTTGAGTGTTGAAGTGGAGACCGTGCTCCTACTTGCAAATCGCGCGAAGTGTCGAAGAATCGTACCCTGCAACCACGCACCCCTGCAATCGGCTGTCAGCTGTTCCCTTCACAGCAGGTTCATGATCAAGCACCGGAAGCTCAAGCCATCCTAGGTCCACGTTTCATCGATGCAGGGGTGTTTGCCCTCTTTTTCCCGCTCTTCGTGCTGACGGCCATGTCCTTATGAAGGGCTTAGCTGCAGCGAGAGAGATTCGCTGGCCGCACACAGATCGAAGCCATACCAGAAGGTCTGAAATGATTCCGGCATTCTCCGATTCGCAGATGCAGCACCTCAATTCTCAAAGTCATTGACTTTCGTGACAAGCCCAACGACCCAGGCTACAAAAGCAGAGCCCAAAGCGCTGCAGCATGAAGCTCAGTTGTTCGATCAGCCAACATGGAAGGCGTAAGCATGTTGTGGACTTCGAGCTACTGTGAAATGCCTGCGATGCGAGTCACGTAGAAGCAACAAGCGCGTGGCACCTTTCATGATGTTTCGACGACGCACAACAATTCTTGGTTGAGACGGCATCCCTTCGGGCAGGAACCGGTTGTTCAGCAATCTGACTGCACGTGGTACCTTACGGCTCTCCACTGCGAAGAATTGGCTCTGAGCTTCGACCCCATGTGTCGGAGAGGGGAGTGAAGGCCTCGTGTCTTCGGGCAGGCAGTGCCCAACCTCGTTGCAGAGACTGCCGCTCTTCATCGTCGTGCAGGCAGGGATATGGCGAGATTGAGGTCAAAGGCCCAGAAAGCCATCAAGCGGCAACCCCGTTCAACTCACGGAGAGTGGCACAAACCTGCTGTGCAGACGCCCAAGTCCAAACAGAAGTCGTGCAGGGCGTCTCCTGCTTCTTGGTCCGCCTCTTCGAGGGTCGGCCAGCCTTTATCGGTTCGGGAGCAGGTTCGGATGTGGAATGCTTCTGAGTCGATCGGCAGAAAGGATCCGGGTCAAGTCGGCTCGGGAGGTGCTTACATTAAACAGTCTTCATGCCTGGAAGCTTCACAATGCAGTGCCAAGCTTAGCAGCCTGAGCGCACCTGAAAGCCGGGCTTTGAGTTTTTCCGGCGCCCATGCCGGAACCCAATCGTCTTGAGATCCACACGACTTGTCTTGGCTTGTGGACCTGGACCCCGAAGCACGGCAGCTGGTAGAGCTCTGCCCGGAGCATTTCTTGAACAAGAGCAGTTTGTTGTGACGCCAGGTAAAACTCGAGCAGAGGCTTCAAAAGTCAAGTGAGCCAGAGGTCTCAAAGGTAGACACTGGAAGACGGACAGGACACGACACATTTGTCGCAAGGCCTGCTCGCGGCTTTTGCTATCACAGGCCACGAACGGCTGCCCAACGGACCTTTGAAGGTCAGTTCGGGCAAGGAGGACGTGTGCATCAAGCATGCCGCAGCTTTCAAGCAGTGACTGCTTCAGAAGTATACTCCGCAGCGCAAACCAACCAGCTATATCGTGTGGTTCTGCGGCTAGGCCCTTAGGCACCCACCCTCTCAACTCACCATCAGCCGTAGAGTGGAGAGCGGCAGCGAGATGGGTATACTTCGATGCAGAGCTGAGGATTCCCAATCTCCGGAACTTCTAAAGAGGGGGTAGGACGGAGTAGGTAGGTAGACAAAAGCTTGAGGCCATGCAAAGAGGGACCAGAGTTCGAGGGATACCCTGGAGCTGCCGCCTCGGGCGCACGTTACCAGACTTGAACTTGGAGTCGCTTTGGGGTTAGGGCCTTTAGGGGTTGCTGTTTGATATGTTTACTGTTCAGGTTATATGGGCAATGAAGGGCTAAGGAAAGCAGGTAGGAATGTGTCGAGTCATTGCGGGCTCACGTGTTCTGGGTTCAGGCATCAAGCCTCCAGAGGGCGGAGCGCTTGGGGTTCGGACGAAGTCTTAGAAACATGTCTGTCATCTTTGGACAACACGGCTCTTGCCACAACGGCAAGTGGGCTTGGGGGTTTCGATGCCGCAGAAGGACAGGAGCTCGAATGCCCTCCTGTGTCTCGCAGCGGGGAAAATGAGATTGGATTGACCCTACTCCGACGAGGTTCTGACTCAGGTGCAGGTACGAGGAGGCAGGAGATTCTCATCACTCCGTGCCGTAGATGCTGAAGCCCGATTGCAACGTACACTCGTACCTGTGAAGCGGAGAACGGCTTGCATTGAATTACGACATAGGATCAGTCATGCCTTCATCGCATGTCTTCAGAAGCGCCAAGATCGGTACTTTCACGCAGCCCAGAAGCCCTTCAACCGGACCATCACAGTCTCCATCGCTGGTCAGACTCGTGGCCAAAAAGCACCCAACCAGAGTCCTGCGGCTTTGCCAGGTCTGGGCCCGGGATCACAGGGAAAATAACCTTGCGAATAACACGGAAGCTTGATGCGAACAACTGAGAGCGGCATTTCACTTCCCTTGGTTGAACCGAGATTGCCCTCGTCTGCAAATATTGCGGCTCGGAATTCTCGAAAGCGCACATCACGCGCACAACATGTTTCGGACGACACACAGCCACACCTCTATTGGGTTTGTAGTGATCACGGAGGCCGGAACCCAATCCTGTGTTTCGCAAATGTCGGTCCCGCGGTATGGTCAATCTGCACTCAGTTTGCCCGGCCTGGGGATGAGCCCCATGTACTCATCCCCTCTACCAAACTCCATCCCAACCGAAAGCCCACAGCCTCAAAAGAAACTCCCACCTAAGCCCAATTCAGCCTGTCCTGCCCCAGCCCGATAGCATCTCTAAATCCCGGCTCTCCCATGGGCGAGCATGGGGGCGGCCTCTCAACTGGCCTGTTCTTCAAGGCGCTTCCAGAGAAACGGCGATACCATCACTGTAAGCATGAAGGGATTCTCGGAATGGCTCAGAAGATTTCAGAAGTATGGGAGGCAGGATGTTAATGGAAAAGGCCGGAGCAAGCCTCGGCCCAGGCGCTTGTGCTCACCGCCTCCAGGGTCGCGAACTGGCCCGGTGCCCAGAAGCCAACGGCCAGGAAGCCTCGGGAGTCTTACTCTCAGTGTTTGGGTCAAGCCGTCAAGCTCTGCGCTGGTTGTGATGGAGTACCAAGCCTTGCAAGAAGAAGCAGAGTACGAACGCTGCACAGTCATGGTTGGAACCGTCAACGCCACACAGGTCCGGAAACATCGGCTCCTAAAGTCCTAGAGTGACCGACGTGTCATCCCTGCTTTAATAAATTCAAAAGTTTAGAGAGGGAAGTCCAGATTGCAACAGACAGATGAACAGTCACTCAACCTACACCCCTCCGTTCCACTGAGGTTCGTAGTCTACCTGCAGGTAGCACTTGCGCAGGAGAGCGAAGAAGAAGGCCGGTGGAGCCTGTCACCAGCTCTTGACGCTAGTGCCACGGCCATGCGACGCCAGCAATAAGAGGTTCTATATTCAGTTCCCACAGATGCCCAGGTCATTGCCCAACAGCCACAGATTTGAAGCCCGACTCGATTCTTGCTGGCTCGAAACACATCCCAACACTCCAGACGCACTTCCTACCTTTTTACCTCTTGAAGGACGTCCCTTGGAGATCGTTGGGCTCCTGTCTGCTGCCGGCATCCTCGTTTCGACCCTATGTTGGCCAGACGCCGAGCACGACTCGGGTGCCCGAAGAGCCTGTGCAGTAATCCGTCCTTGCAGAGACCGGGTAATCTCCCTCGAGCTCTCTGGACTTGAGGTCTAATAGCATATTGGGGAGTCCTGCGGATCAACGCTTGGGCCCAGGGCAAGTTTCAGGCACCGGTGCGTAGACACACGTCCTGAAGCTGGCTCAGGGTAGCTGCAGTAGCAAACAGCATGCTGCTCAATCAAGGAACTGCACCTTTTCAGCCTTGGAAACGCAACGACATGCAAGAGAAAACACACGAGCCCTGAAGCTCATCGACTCACTGATCTTGGAAAGTGACTCACATTCTCGAGATGCCCATTGTGTTGCTTCGCTCAGTTTCTTCTCCCTCCGAACTGAGAGGGCGCGCCAGGACCTTAGATGTGAAAATTGCGTCAACAACAGCCGCATACCTGAGAGGCTTGTTGCAGATGGCTGACGGACCTATTCGGTGAGTTGAAGCTATTGGAAGGATGCCATAGAGCCGGGGGAGGGGTTGCCATGCATCCGAATTCGAGCGACTCAAGTGGGTCCGAACATCTCACGAGGGATCCTTCTCAAGGTCTGTGTTCTGAACACGCGACCTTCGGCCATGCTTGAACCCTGTAATGCCAGGACTCAAGTCAGAGACAAGGGGGATGCCCAAGTGACATCATGGCAAATGATATAGGGCTCTCAATGCTTACTCGCACCTTATAGTTATAGTATTCCGGGCCCCGAAACCCTATTCTAGTTTTAAGGCCCTAAACTAAATCCTTATAATAGCCCTTATAGACCCCTTTAAAGGAGCCCTATTCTAATAATTAAGCCCCCTACATTACCAAAGCTTTCCACTTCCAACTTCAAGTTCACTTTCACCCCGCGAGGCCGCTCAAGATGTCCTGCCCTTCTCGTGGCACTGGTTCAGGTGCCGCAAGCCTTGTGTGGAGATTCCCCATATGCCTTTTTCATAAGATAAAGTATATAATATAAAGAAAATACAACATATGATATGTAATATAAACTAGTGATGGAGCCCTGGCCACTTGCAAACTCAGTCTGGCTCCCGACGGTTTCGAGCTCCAGAAACCACAACCGCAATTCGGTGGTTTGATGTTGCTGACAGCAAAGAAGCTCAGTGAGATAAAGGTTCAAATCCGGAAAGTGTTGAGTGTGTCGGAATCCCACTTTCTCGACTCGTGCTGTTTCTCCGGGCCGTGCTCACCACTCCTGAAACCCCAAACTTCCAGATTCCAGCACATGCTCAAGCCCCGAAACAGCAGCACTTTGTTTTGGAGGTCGGCGCGCTCTTGGAGTTGTCACCGATCCCCCTGCCTGACCCTCAGAAACTAAGCAGATCTTGAGTGAGGTTATAAGTCATAAGTAAACTTAAGTAAACTATATTTGGGATTATCCCACTCAGAAGTGTTAGCAGGACTTGCCGTCGCAGAGGCCAGGGCTCCAGTACTCTTGTGACCACGGCATACGGCCGATCCTGGCGTGGATTGGATGGGGCCCTGGAAACTTCTTGTTGGGGCATTTCGGTAATGAGCAATTCGAGATTGGCTCAGGGTCTGCGTGGTTTTGCATAGCACAACTCGCAGCATAACAGGCTACCTGTCCTCACAGCTTTTGAAATTCATTCGCGGATCCAACAAGGTATCCCAGCTTTCGCAAGAAGCCTTCCCGGCTGCCTGTGGCGCTGGAGATGGCGCAGCGCGCCGACGTCCTCCCCGGCAAGCGGTTGAGTCCTAGGGCTTAGTGACTTAGTGTTGAGTTCAAGACTTTGGGCTTGTGCTGTTACTGCTTGCAACAGCTAGCCGCTAGCCCTCCGAAGCAGTCGTCATCGTCCTCGTTCGAACTACAACGGCTTTTAATTTACGGTCGCCGAAGGCTTTCTTCGCAACGCGGGATGGCCAACTCAGTGGAACAAGTCTTCCTGGACAGTCTAGGGACAGGATCAGGACTTGTTGCACCGAGAGCTTCCGCCATCCCAGGTGTAAGTAGTGCTTACATGGGGTGCACAGTAAGCCAGAAGATGTACACACAGTTCCCTACCTGCCTGAGAACCTCCACGCACTTGGCTGGGCGAGGCCGTCGTGCGCAGTGTGTTCCTGGTTCAAGTGCAGTTTAGTTTCGGGGGTGAGTCAGGGAAGAACAAGCAACTGACCACAAGCGGGTCCAGTGGCATCATCATGAGCTCTTGGGTGCCGCCGCCATAACTCTAGAGGATTCAAGACGTTGCCCCAGCTGGCATCACCGAGTACTTTCTGGATCTTTGGGTGCGTCAAAACGTAGCTCGGAGACTAGTCGCCTGCTTTGGCATGGGGCTCGTCGCAGACTCAGCATCAGAGTTTGGGCACGTGCAAGATCACGAAGTGAACCGGAGCACAGCAGTTATCGGAAGTCCTTCATTACGGTCACCGTTCCTGCCCCCGACATCGTCACCATGTTCCGTCCCGGACTCCGTAGGGCTGCAGAGTTTGCATTGGACCGGAAGTTCGCTCAAGTCCCTTACCCCCAGTTCGTGGTCTGAGGCGCCAGGAACCACACCCGCAGACAAGCAAATGGTCATGCGGCCTCGAGCCCCAGAGCGATTGCTCAAAGCTGGAGGGGCGGGAGACATCGGTTTGTTCAATGGATCGATTGTGTTTCGCTGGGGCAGGCTTGTTGTGACGACAACTCAGGGTTTCCCTATGCTTTCCGATTTCGTCTGCAGAGGCAGGTACGCTACGCCGCTACGTTTGTTCCCGCAGCACTTTGCTCAAGGAAGGTGTCGGCTTGTGTGCGCGAACTGGCGCAGTCTGAGCATTGAGAAGGCGCCCTCATACGGACTAATAGGGCTACGGGCGATGCCCATTGCTCCCCATCCTTATCAGATTCTCATATTATCGTTATGACACACGGACTTCAGCTTGTTTGCGGTGCGGAACTAAAGCCTTAGTTCGAAGGCGAGATTCCATTGCATATGTGTATACAATTGCGGCTGTCGCCGCAACTGCCCGCGTCTTCTCAGTGTTGCTTGTCTGTTTGGGTCGGTTCGCTGCTGTGCGCTTAGATGTAGTACATCCAGTTGGGCTTCAGCATTTTGCGATGGCTGGTTCTCTCTTGTAGGCTAAAGCTTGGCGGCCGGTGACCTTCTTGACAGTTGCGAGATTGGGACCGGAATCGAAGGAACTGCTTCACTCTGATAAAGGATTGACGAATCCAGGATAGAGCAGATCTTTGCACTGGCTAGGTGCTCTTTTCTGTCTTTGGACTCGTGACGCTTGAAAAAACCTCCCCCAATGCCTTGCAGGGCTTGCAGTCATGGCTTGGTTGGCGGGCCAAAGCCATCCGCTTGGCACCGTGGAGAGCTTGACAGAGGCGAGCTCCGCTTCCCCTCAGCACCTAAACTGCCTTCACCCTGAACTTCTTCGTTGCTGTGTTCGCTCCCAGCAGGGCCTCGGGTCTATAGTTTTGGCTGCAGATTTGATGAGGTCACGGGCTTCGGGACCTTGCTTCGAAGAGTTTTGGACTTGACAATTGCAGCAGCACAGAGAGATCTGACGAATGCTAGACCATGTGCCCCCCAGGGGCCGGAGTCCACATCCAAGCAGCTAAAGCACCAAAAACAGAGCCTTTGCCCGACTCAATTCGAGGCCGTGAGAAAGATGGAGGTGCCGCGCTTGCACTTTCCAAGATGGACGAAGAGCGTATAAATTCTCGAGGTGTCGGGGCGGATAGATGACGCAGGGAATTCGGTAAGCCATGCTCAGCGAAAGAACATGCCTGGGAGGCCATGTGCATGATCTTCGTTGAAATAGACACGTCTTCCGACATGAACACTGCTCAGCTCTTGCCATTCATGCCCGATTTTGCCTTCTCGCCTCCCGACGTCATTGTGCTTCGCAACAGTTTGAAGGCAAGACCGCCCTTGTCGCAGTCAGTACACCACCATCGATGTCAAACATCAGCGTCCAAGCCGTGAAGCGATGCAAGTGTAGGATAAGCATGACACGAAGTTCTCCAAGGCTGACACGGTCGGTCGATGCCTGGCTGCTGGCGCTTCCGTCCAGGGATCAATCAATCGTCAAGGGCAGACCATATTGGATCTTTTCGTGGGAGTCTCAGCATCAGATTGCCTTAGGGGCTCAACGATTTAAGGCCTGTGGTTCAGCGCACCAATTCGGGGCTTCATCTGACGTCAGGTTGAACACAGCTTCAAACACACAATTTTTTCCCGGCAGCGTTGACGTGCTCCATTCTCTCACTGAGGTCGTGGAGCATGCAGCCATGATTGAGTCAGCCCTCGAGCACAAAGGCACGCGGCACATCGCGAAGACCCAGACGGCAGCACCCGATTCCACGTTTTCCAAGCCCACCACTGCAACGACATTGCTGTGACGAGGCGTTCTAGGACTCTAGGATGTTGTGTCAGGTGAGACTTTCAGACGGCACGTGGAATCTGCTGGGCACGACAAGCCCTAAACCTTGAGCCCAAAGAAGAATCAAAGAATAGTAGTAGTCGTCGTCATCGTCGTCGTAGTAGTGCTCGTAGTAATCCTAGTAATCGTAGGAGTCGTAGTAGTCGTCGTCGGACTGATAGTGGCAAATAGTAAATAGTAGCAACAAATGACTAGTCATAGCAATACTGGTACTGATCGTGGCAACGCTGTCATGACTGTAGTAGTGTTGTAGTTTTAATACCGGGAATATGAAAAGTCGTCATAAAATAGGAATAGGACTAGCCATATTCCAGAAGCCAGGTTCCCCTCAGGATGTCACCAGACTCTATGTGGAGCAGCAAGAGGCGGCCTTTCAGGCCGGACCAGAGCCGTAAAGACTCGAACGTTGTTATAGTGTTGTACTAGTGCTTTCCACACTGTTATAGTATGTGAGCCTTGCAGTGTTGAGGGTTTGGGGACTCCGTATTACTTAATTTTGGCTGGGGTTGCGGCTTGCTCCATTGACCAGCCTGCGGAACACGGGCAGGCACCTTGCAATATGTGCACTTGGCCACCTAATCACAGCCAGTATCTTTGTTATTGCTCTTATTTAATCGAATAAGCGCAGACATCAGGGTCAAGATTATTGCAGCAGAATGCAAGAAAACATGATTGGTTTCCAGCAATGCAACAGATCATCGAGAAACATGGGGTTGCAGCAAAAAGCCACGACTGCAAGGAACATGAGATGAATGAAACAGACGTGCAAGCCAACTTGTTCCGTTGTGCTGGCAATTTCCTATGCAGGTTAGGCTCAGTGTAGACTTTTGTTTTGGACTGGGATCGAGACCCTTGAAACAAGAAATGACCGGTTTTCATGACGGCGAGATCGCTTGGTTTCAGAAGCTTTTGGTACTCATGGGATGTCCTGATGTACTGGGGTCAGGGCATCGGACTCAGTCAAACGTCCTCGCGAAGAGCCCTTGCCCTCAGCTCAGGTCATGCGATCACTTGTGGACAAAGGCGCAGTCCTGTCAGCCGGAACCGCTGTCCTGAAGCCTGGTCTCAGGTGAGTGCAAGGCACTGGGAAGGCCAACATCTATGTTACCGTAAGAGAGGGGAAGCTGGTGGTTTTGGCCGGGTTGCAAGAGCTGACGGGCCCTTTTAACGTGGTGAGCCTTTCCTCCTGCACTGGGTGTAGTGAGGTGGGGACGTTGAGTCTGCAATTTCTGGATGTTCGCCTTCCCGGGCCGTGGGCTCCGCAAACGAGTGCTGGACAGTGAAATGCATACAGAGAAAGGAGAAATGCAGGCAGGAGAGTCAGCTAGAGATGGCGAAGCATCTGAACTGATTAGTCACAAGATTCAGAACCGAGAACAGGACTCTGACTCGATCGGGAAACTGCCTGCAAAATTCGCAGGGGTCCTCTTGGCTGGAATTGCTGTATCTGCAGAGCAGAGACGAAGAACGCAATCTCGCGCACCTGGCACGCCCGGACTTGGAAGTGAGCATGCTCGTAGTTCTTTAGTTGGAAACAAACCGTATCAGTAACGGCTGATCGTGGCACACCCGTGAAGCCAAAGATGCCTGTGGCACAGCACAGAGCCGAGACACCCTCGTGGTTTTCACCTCAGATGGGGGCACAAAGAGTGCTTTCAAAGAGCTCTTGGTAAAAAACGATGCTACGACCCTTGCTGTGCCCATCATCTTCTACAGGTATTGCTGTTGTGGTGCTTCTCTTTCTTGTGGCTCTTCATGTAATGCTGCGGGTGGAGATGACGACAAGCACGACTGCATGCGCACACTATTTATAGTTGAACTTTCGTTTCACTATGATGAGGGAATCTGTCCGTTCTGAGTCCTTTTTATCATTCTTGTTACTAAGGTGTTGTTGGCATGTCGGTCCTGCTACAAGCACATCCATACATGATGACTAGAGTTATCTCTAAGAATGACCATATGGATAGTGACGGTTGCCCTGAGTTTTATCATCCCGCCTGCTGTTGGTGGCAGTGGAAGCAGTTTTGGGGCAGCTCCATCCAAGGTCTCTTCCACTTGCCATGAAAGAGACGATGAAGAAGCATGCCCTTCTTGAGGAGGCGCTCCAGTTCGTCGGTTTGTAGTAATCCGGGAGTCTAGGTGCAGAACATGAGCTTCTGCTGGGTGACTCCACATCTGATCTTGGTACAGAGCCACGGACATCATGCCCACCAGAACTGAGTGTGACTGTTTGGGCCTGTGGCTTGTGGTAGTGAAACGCATCCCTGGCGGCGCACCTCGAGGTTTCAACAAGTTTACGTCCCGACGCTTTGTAACCTGTGCCAGATACACTTGTGCCTGGAAGGCCTGAAAGCAAATCGCAAATGGAAGATAGCCTCCATCTTCTCATGCCAGGACGACGCCAGTTTCGACTATCCCTCCCCGAAGGGTAAACTCGTGTTCACACGATGCCGTCGACCCAGCGTTAGTCCCACTTCACGGGATTCCGTGTTCTGGCGTCGGAGTATATGTCCTTGTGGCTCGCTAAGCTTACTCGTTCTTTGCGTATGCGCAGTTTTCGTGGGTGGCATTAGCGTCATTAGCACTAGAGCTGTACTGCTAACATTTTAGGTTCGGCTGCTCCACTCTTGTGGAAGGCCAGACTCAGACAGTGTTGTGAGTTCTTCACCAGTGAGAATACAGCGATTGGATAACTTCATTGTTTACCTTCATTGCGGGCCGTAAAGCAGAGATCCGAAATCCTAAACTCCCTAAATCCCTTCGACGCTTTCAGAAGGGCATAGCCAATCAGGGAAGTGTGGCTCAAGACATCAAGGCCCAAGGCTCAGCACCAAACGGCCGGTGGACGAATCCACAAAGAATTGGGGCAAGAAGTATCAGTACTGAGGTGATGATTAGTGTTGGTAAGGTAGTTGTGGTCATCTTACCGGCATAGGGTCACTGGCACAATCAAAGCGGTGCTGTCAAGGAGCATGGAACATCAGTGCTTCATTGAATCCTCCGCTCCATTCCTAAATCCCCAAATCATTCAGCCTAAGCCTGAAGAAACGAAGACCCAGTATAGGTTTGTCCGACGACGAGCCGCCCATGGAGCGGCCCGCGCGATCCTGTTTAGGGCTCCGGGCTGTCGAATTGGCTTTAGATTCAGAGTGACAGCTCAGCACGGGCGGGAGCTCTTAGTTTTTACAGGTCGTTGGACGTGCTGTACTGCAACTTGGAGGTGACAGCATGTAGACGCATAGATCCCTAAGTTCGCATAATCATTCTCGAAACTTGAGATCGATCTCCGTATCTCGGTCTCAGCCCAAACCCTGCACCCCAAGCTCTTCCCAGATCAGTTGCACTCGCCAGGGACTCGCCCTTACACGCGGCCTTAAACCGAACATCGACAAGTTTTAACAGGCAGGAGGAGTGCCGAGATTATCTTGAGATGAGTGTGGCAACAATCCAGCGCAGTTGCCGACCAGCTTCGGGCAGTAGCTCATGCAAATCCTGCGACGGGGACATGCTGATTTGCTGCCGGACAGAAGAGATGGGCCGGCAGCCCATGTTCTCGGCACAAGGCCTCCTGATCAGTACGCTTTCTTGCAGGCAGGTGACCGCACCTGCGGTGATGCAAGTGGCGAACTTCATCCTCGACGCAGAAACACGGCTGGATCAGTTCTCACCGAACCCGGTAAGCTGACAAAACCAGAAATGAAGCACAAGGCACACAAGCAAGCAGCATGAGGTGGCGATGCCCCAGAATCTCTTTGGTCTGCTAGAGCGGGTAAGCCGGGCGTGGGTTCCAACATGGGCAGGGAAACCTCGAATGCACCAGGAGATGTTGTGAGGGTTCCTGCATGCGTCCCCCAATCCCAACCAAACGAGGTGCTTGAGCAAAGCTGGTCCTAACCTGAATCCGGAAAGTCTTGGTAAGTCTGCCAAACAACTTCAAGTTCGTATTGAGCGACCCCCAAGGAGACATGACAAGAAACCCGAAAGCATGAATCCTTGATTGGTAGCTCAACCCCAAATCTAAGGAAATGACTGTCGGAAGCTCAGGGAGGCTTTGCCATGTTGCTGCTGCTGCATAGAGTTCAGAAAAAGTTCATAATAAAACCAGGCCGCAATAGTTCATACACGAATCATATTTTCAGGCCTGAAAAGTTCAGAAAAAGTTCATACTTCCATGCCTGAAAAGTTTATGAAAAGTTCAAAAGTTCATAAAAAGTTCATACTTCCAGGCGTGAAAAGTCCTCAAGCACTAAGATCCTGAATCGACTTTCAGCGGTTACGTTTGGGCTTCCGGATTTGTAGCAGGGGTTCGCGATCGGGCATCATAAGCTGTAGTCTTCATGAACTTTGTTGAGTAGGTCGGAGCTTCTGTAACCGTAGCTGTGATACGCAAGATCCGTGGTCTTGCTGCGTCGGCCCGTGAGAGTGCGTTGATGTGAGACGTTTTCTCATGTCCTGTGCTAGGCCATTATGTAGGTGACGGCCCAACTCATCAAAATCTAATCGCAACACGCGAAATTTCTGGCATGGTTCAAGCGAGTGCTGGGCACAAGTCGATGCTGTAACGGCGGGACGATGCTGAGCACCCTTTGAAGCTTGCGATTGTTCACCGAAGATACCAAGTTTCATGCCATCCAACACCTGCAACGCCAAAGCTGCCCAGGTGCTCTATGAAGGCAACAATTCGTCACTAACCAACAGCAAGGCCACCATCTCAGATGGCTGGGGGTTCGTCGCTCGTGATTTGTTTCTTTGGGTGTAGTTTTGGTCTTTCTTTGTGAGCTCGGCTTCTGACAGTCAGTTCATGGCCCAATGAGTCACTTTGACTCGATCGGTCACTCAGCTTTGTTAGCTGTTGGAGGCGGTCGGAGCCTGCATTTCCAGCTTGACCCAGGCCCCTAATTATGTCGAATGTTAGGAGAGGAGTTCACGAGTCAATATCACGTGCAACCCGAAAGGTAGAAGGGCAAAGCATCCCGAGGGCCACTTCGGAGTTCTAAAGGCCTAGTGGGTGATGAAGGTGTTTAGGATGCAAGCCTTTCCAATCCCCACACTCTAGGCACCAAAGCCTGGACCCACTCTGGCCCTGCCGGCAGGTTCGTAGATCCTCGGTCATCTCTTGCAAGAGACTCTTCGGCTGCAATTGTGGTGCTCCATTCCGGGATCCACATCATCTTTATCTTGGAGAGTCATCGTATTCATCTGGAGTTGTGCATTGGATTTCTGGGTATCGTATGCGCTCGAAGTAGTCCGCTCTGAACGTGAAGCCCTCCTGCAAGGCGATGAGACCGACGTGGGGACCTCGGACCACATGGGGGCTGAAAGATGGCTGAGCAGGGCTACAATATGGGTTTCGGGCTCGGTCTCCAACCTAGTATAGGATATTGCGAAGATGGTAGCAGATGCATTCCTCGTGGAGCAGACTCGCAGAAGATCAGTTCCTCCCTGAAAACTCCATGGCTGCCAGGGGCTTCGGAGCTTTAGGTTTATCAGTTGGCGCTTGCAACACTGATGCTTCGGAGTAGGGCTTCAGAGTCGGTTCAATTTAGGATGTTCGGCGATGGTATCGCTCAAAATTAACATGCGCTGACCGTGCAAGGTGCATCTTTACTTTTCGACCTGTTTCTTCAGCACATGGCACTATATCCCAGTGGCTGCACTCAGCTTTGTTTCTGAACTCCGTTCTTCAAGAGACCCGGGCGGCCGAGGTGGTTTCAGCAGACTTGGATGTTGCAGTGAAGCCGGGAACTCAGAGTTTGAGCATGTAGGCTGTGCAAGTGGGCTGCAGAGGACTGAGTCGGCACGAGAGAAACACACGGACTGGAATGTGGGACCGTCCGCGATGGTTCGATACACCTATAGGGCCTAATACTGAAGTGATGCGTAGTGGCACACCAGGGCTTGGGATCTATAAGCCCTCAGCCAGCGACCTAACCACGAGCCAGCTCGTGGTGCTGGGGCGTTGGGCAGTTGAGAGGGTGGTTGAGATCTGAAGCTGGAGGGCTTGAGTCTCTGAATCTCAGGTCCGTCTCACTAGCAGACGATGCTTCAAACCTGGCCGGGGCCCAAAGCGCTC